TTTATTAACACCTTCCATGGTTGTCTCAGTGGGCACAGGTTTATTTTGGACAGACACTGCAGATAGTTGGTTTTCCAATGTAAGACTTTTATTATCAGCAGAAATTGGGCTCTGATCTTCAGTATCACTGCTAAACTGAATGTTTTCAAATAAAATATGCTGTCTATTAGAAGTACTTGCATAGGAAGCAAAATCTGAAGTTCCTACTAATGTAGGAGAACTATATGGAATCATTGATGCAAATAATTCTTCCACTGGTTGTTCAATAGCACTACTGTCCTGTAAAATTTCTGAACCTTGACAAGAAATAAGTGAGGGTGACTGAATAGTTTCCTCACATTTGATAGTTCCCAACAAATTAACCCCTTCATTAACACCTATCTCCATTATATGAGCACCTAAAGGCCCAATAGCTTGCTGGGTAGGAGTTTCATTTTCTTTGACATTTGAGTCTACTATCAAAACATTGTGTTTTGAAAAGAAATCTAACATTGATGATGACAGTCCACTTGCTACATGAGTTACTGTTGCCACTGAATCAGTTAATGATCCAAGACTTCCAACAGTTTGTACACTTTGGGGGCTTTCAATATGGTAATTGTATGTTTTAATATGGTCAGAAGAGACAGATGTGACAGTAGGAAAGACTGATGTAGACCCTGTAGAAGACCTAGTGACAGAATCTACTGAAGAGCTGTCTACCTCACATGCTGATGTTACCTGAAAGCAGAGTTGAAGGGTCTTACACCATCCAAATGGACATTGCAGACTGAATACATTAACCAAACATGAGAGTGATTTGGCAGCAGAATACAAGTAATAAAGCAGTAGCAATTTTGGCCAAATGCTGGCCCCCTTTCACCAGAGGATATTCTGATTTTGGAGAATAATGTGACCACCATGTTAGGATTAAAATAAAATAAAACCACCTGAAAGCTTATACACAACATGATGTGTCTGCTCTACATATATAACTTACCTTTCTAATTTCTTCAGGCCCTTTCTTCTCCAAAGGTTTGTAGATGTTTGAGCACTCATCGACTGTTGGTCGCTTCTCCTTCTCTTCAGAATCCTCAACCTCTGAAGAATCACCCGAGCTGTATACAGTTGAGGATGGCTTTTCTTCTTCTACATTCTCCTTCACATCTTTTATTTTTTCCAGTGTGGAGTCTGGATCAGTGTTCAGGGCCTCCACTGAGCTGGGCCTGGAGATTAATGTAACCAATACAGCTTCCTCTGCTTCCGGAAGACGATCTTCAGTGGAAGTCACAAGAGTCATCCTATGGACCACCTGAGAACTATGCACTGACACCTTCTGTACTGTTGTAGAATTCTGGCATATCACTGATGAGGTGACTGCTTGCTCTTGCTCATTTATGGCCACAGGTAAAACATTTGGAACTTTCTCTTCAGTATCCTCTTGAACTGTAGTAGTGGTTGTAACCACAATTCTTGGCTTCTCAACAGATGAAAATTCACTTTTTTCAACTGAAGGTTTAGCTTTGGCAAATTCAATATCACCAGCAACATGAACTTCTTGCACTGTGAACTCAATAGGAAGAGACTTGTGCTTTATTTCATCTGTGGAAATTTTACTTGGAAAAGTAGAAGTGGAATCATTATCTTTATCTTGCATAATCTGAGCTGAAACAGAAGTTATAACTTCATCCTCTGCGTTTATAGCTTCAAATGATGTACATTCGCTTGTTATAGGTAAATTTATACTTTCACTTTCTTTAACAGCCTTTTCATTTTCATCATCTGTATCACTTAACTCTGCACCACTCATGACCTCCTCAAGTTCAGCAATCATAGCTTGCAGTTTCTCGACAGGCAGTTGGTCGTAACTCACTGCACAGCTTGAAAGTTCAAGACTAATTTGCTCTGATTTATTTGTTTCATCTTGTTTTATTGGATGAATATTATTTTTGTCACCATTTTCTTGTACATAACTTGAATTTTCACTTAGACTCTGACTAGCCATGTTAGAATCTACTTCACTTTTGGATGGAGAAAATAAATGATTGGATGTTTCAATGTATGTATGACTGACTGCCTCACTAGATACCACCTGGCTCTGTTGAGAGAGAAGTTCAACAGTATGAACTTCCTCTGTCCTCGAAGAATCTAAGGACCCAATGCCTTGAGCTGTGGTTGGAGAGAATAAACTGTCTCCTTTTGAAGACACGCTCTCTGATACAGATTCAAGATCAGAAAAAGTCCCTTCAAGATCTCTACTTGCTTCTGAGGCAGGGGCCATATCAGTATCAATTGATGCCAAGGATTCTAAATCATCATCCTCACATCTCCTAATCTTAAGAAGGGAAAATCTCTCATCTCCATTCTCATTAAGAACAAGTTCTTTAGCACTCCTTCGATTTCTGTCTATTGCACTTAAATCTATATCTTTTTCAGCTACTTCTTTCAAACCAGCAATAAGCTCATCAAAATTATCTAGATCAGTTTCATTCTCATTTATCTTTCTTTTGCGATCTTTCATTGTTGCATCATTAAATGCTGTATCACCTGAATTACCAGGCAGCTCAGAACCTGGAGACATATCAACTGATGAAAATTCAATACCTGATTCACCAACAGCACATGAAATCATGTCAGTCTGTTCAGAAGTAAGGCTTTTCCTTTCTGTTGTTGTACCAGGGATATTGAATGATAGGTGAGATATTGTTGTTTTCACTTCCTCAACTTCAACCAGACTGAGTGTTTTTGGCTGATCTTTCAAGATTAAGTTTTTGGATTCTTCTGGTGTCTTCTGATCAGATGAGTACTGATCAATTAACTTATTATTAATGTCTTCCACTTGTTCAACAGAGGGAGAATCAGATATTTTGGTAACACTGCTAGTAACAAAAGTCACAATATGGTTATCGTCTTTAGGACTTGAGAGTGTTTTGGGTTCAACCTTCACAACACTATCAACAAGAGAAGAATCACCCCACATGTTACTGTCAGCAGAAGAATACATTTCGGATGATTCACCAGCATCTGCTGCTTCTGTCTCATTGGTTGAATACTCATCTTGCACAATTGCATGAGGCTGTAGATTTTCAGTATTTAAATCAGATTTATCTGATGATACTGCCTCTGTGGAGCCAGCATTTTCCAAAGACATCACCTTTGCAGTAGTTGTGGTAACAGTAGTAGAAGTAGTCATAGCACTGCGAACTAGACCTGTGCTCTTTAGTATAGCATTTCCTTCTTCAATGTTTTTCCCACACATATCTATGTTTGTTTCCATTGCAGTGGGATCATCATGTAAGGTGAAGTGTATTGACTTCGATTCATCAACTTGAGTAGCTGGAGCTTGTAACTGGCTAATTGATGGTTTTATACCAGTAGTCTGAGAAAGTTTTGAAGAATCATGGGTTAGACTGGTAGTAATAGTGGTTTCATTAACAAAAGTAGTGATGGTAGAAAGAATAGAGTTGGTGTTGATGTGGACTGCTGCTGATTGTGATCCCTGTCTCTCTGAGGTTAAGGGTAAACCTACAGAGATGCCTGTGTCTTGTGTATCCAGGTGACAATGCTGAAAAGATACAGTGGATCTTGCTCACCTATATTAATATCACATACTGAACTCTGCTGACTTGCTAAGATTGAATTTCTACCATCATTTGGAAAAGTATGGCGAGATCAAGCTGCTGCCGTAAATTCTAGTCCAGCAGAAGCAGTAAGGTTAACAGACCAGACACCGAATGTAGTGTTGATAGAGCCATAAAGAAGGTTGTTAGATAAGTAACAATAAGAATAGTGAAGAATAAGTAGGATAGCAAATAGCCCCCCTTGTCACATTTCACCTGTAAAACTCCACATACTATATGCACTAGAACAGTAGTCTTAAAGCTCACATATTCAAGGCCCACAAATCTATCTTAGCACAAGCAATGAATTGTTCTATTCCTCAAGTTTTATACTATTAGTCTATAGCTACTGACCAAAGCTTTGTGTCGTAAGGTGAAGTACTCTGGAAAACCAGTTGGGCATTGCCAAAAATACTGAACAGAAAATATGGTAAGTTTGAATTTGCTGCTCATACTCTAACAGAAGTGAATGACAAATTACATAATTTCAAAGCTTATTTCTGTAACTAATGCTTAATGTTATTGTCCAAAATTATTTTCAATAAAACCTGGGGATAGGAGACTCAATTACACACATGAAGCCACATTATCCCCAAAAAACAGAATATCCTTTCAGACATCAAAATTGAAAGAAAAAACTGTAGACTGAGTGACATAAGATCAGCAAACAAACAAAAAATGAATTCCTTGGTAGAGAGACTAAAGGCATTATGCTGATGAAACATGTGGAAGTTTATTAGTTTTATTAGATTTTCATATTGCAGAATAATTTAGAGAAAATGTTTGGAAATGAAAGGAAAATTTAAGTGATCTTACTAACCTGCTAACTGCAATTATTTCTTATATATTTTTATAAGTTCAATGAGGAAGTTTACATAATGCAAGTACTTGAGAAAGACGGTAGAACACATTCACAGAAGAATCCAAAGTGCAAAAGCCTCCCAAGCAACACATGCATCATGCACAGGCTCACAGCACCAAAACACTGACAAAATGACAATAGCAGCAGCTTCTGGTTCTTTGCTAAACTGGTCAAACAATTAACCATCTGCAACATACATTAGCTAAATAAATCGTGCAGCAGAGAAGTTAATTATAGAGAAAGAATAACTTTGGAAAACAAATTATATTCTGAATCCACTTTTATCACTAAACTTGACAATACAAAAAATAAAAAAGCATACAATATACTTGTACAGTACAGTCAAAAACACAAGCCTTGAAAGTTGAAAACTCTAGCATTAAATATTTAATAGGAAGGAGAACATGTGTAATAATAAATCTAGAAATTAAAATCACTAGTTGCTCAAAAACAAGGTTTACATCATTCCTTAAAAACTATAGCAATCATATACTCCTTCCCTGTAGAAATTGCTTGATGCTTAACTTTAAAAATCTTACCTGAACAGTTCTGTAGATATTTTCCCACCTCTGATTTATGAGCACTAGCTCAGGTTGTATTCGAGCTTGAAACAGAACTCCGTGGTTAATGAGATCCACAGCTGTGTCACGAGTGTTTTCAATCTGACCCTTGTAGCTTTGTATTTCTGATGATACACTCTGTAATCAAATGAATTTTGAAGTTATATTCATCTTATAATTCTCTACCTGTTATTATTGTTAATATGGTATGCTAGCTAAAACCCATTATTACTTTAGCAATGCACTCACAGCAACAATGCAAGGTACAATACCTGCCAGGTCAGTGCAGTCGTCTCAATCCACCCCAGAAAGACCCAAAGAAGGTTCATTCATCAACATTCAGAAGACATCCTCCAAGAAAAACTTGAAATTTGTATACAGTATGCAAGTAAACACTTGCATACCTGTGTGTGCATGGTCATTTGCATGATATTCAGCTCTTATTAAATGACATGACTTTCCTTTTTGGGAGAGCCCCTATGGTGGCTACCTGTTGATAGCTACATGGATAGCTCCACCCAATTCAATCCATGCCAGAGGCCCTTCTTAGTCATTATAAGCCTACCGGGAACCAGAGATCTCTGGTAAAAACCTGGCCTGTTCTATAGAGAAGCAAGGAGCAATCATTCACAGCCTGATTTTCCAGCTCTTGATTCTAGAGGGTGTCTGATTTATGAATTCCCTGTGGCCCCTTCTGGCTCCACTATGCAGCACAATCAAATGTTCCTGCTTTGCCTTTGGTTGTGGGAATTTATACTTACAGAAAAGATTTTGTGACTTTTGCACAGAATTAAAACATGAAGTGCAGATGAAAAGCTCTTTTTCCGAGGAAGACACTCGGTTGCTCGTGTGCCGTCCTTTTTTCTCAACTTGGCTCTTAAGTTTTCGCTCCACTGTTGTGACCGGTGTCGCCTCCCCTCGCGTCTCAAACGTGTGAACATTTCGGCTATTTTCCGTGGCTATATTTCTTACTGCGGCTTCAGAAACTATCTACGCTTACTCCACGATGGATAGTGATCATGAACAAGGCCCTTCCAGGAAGAAAATTGCAAAAGAAAGGCGTGAAAAGCAGAAGCTGAGTAGTGTACAGGAGAAGTACAAGCATGTGAGACTAACTCCCTCAAAGTTTCAGGCTGTATTTGACGATTTGTCTGGGTCATCTAGTGATGAAACTGATGTTGGTATTGATACTGATGCAAGTAGTGAACATTTAGAAACAGAGACGGCCGATGAGGATTTTGAAAGTGATGAAAGTGAGGACAGTGAGGAGTCTGAGGTCGAGATTGCCACTCATGCACGGCGTGGTACTGGAGCTCGTGCTAGAGCCAGACATACCACACGTACCACACGTACCCCAACACCAACAGATTCTGATGATGGATGTATCAGATAAGGTCATACTGACTTGGCTACTAATTTATAATGTCCATGTGAGAGTGGGTCTTTGCGTAAGGAAACAACCAAGTGGCTTACTCAGACAAGAGCTTTTCATCTTAATTCAAGCACTTAAGGTAGAGATATCCCTTCTACCATTTCCAATTTTGTGCTATCCAAGCAGTAGTGCATCCTCTAATATTATATTTGTCTCTTAACATTACCAAGTTCACAACTAATTGAAATGAAAAACAATCAACAAGTATCAAAAGAAACAAGAGCTAATATAATAAACAGATATAAATGGAACACAAGTCCCACTTTTGACAATGGAATCCCTTCACTCTATTCCTGTCACATATACTTATCCATATGCAGGCGATGAGTCACAATAACGTGGCTGAAGTATGTTGACCAGACCCCACACTAGAAATTGAAGGGACGACGACGTTTCGGTCCGTCCTGGACCATTCTCAAGTCGATTTGAGAATGGTCCAGGACGGACCGAAACGTCGTTGTCCCTTCAATTTCTAGTGTGTGGTCTGGTCAACATACTTATCCATGTTAAAAGTCTCTGGTTATTTAAATCCAGTGCAGTACTTCACTGACATACTATCATATGACCATTGTTAAATAATAACTATTTCATCAGCATTTTCCAGTTTCTCACTTATGTGATGTCTCCAAGTAACAACACTCATTAAAAAAATTAATTTGTAAAAATTAATCTTGCTGTCCTTGAACAAATGATCTTTAATATAATCTCAACATTTCAGCCACCTTCATAAGTTGAAGCATGTAAACTTCCTGTGCAGAGACTACATCTCAAAGAAAAACCACCCAATACTATTGAATTGGCAATATTTAATATCTATAACCATTTTTTACTATACAGTACTGTATAGTACTATAATATATTTGTCGCCAGATTTATGCCTCACCATCCTATGAAAGTGGATAATGTCATAACAGTAGTATATATACAGTATCTACAATTCCACTTCTAACCTTGATAAGCTTGTCTTGTTCAGTGGGCTCAAGCTTGCTCAGGTGAAGAAGTTGGTGTTCGGTACTCTCTAGCCAGCCCTTTATCTCACCGAGGCTAATAATGAATTTCTCCATTTCAGCTTCCTTAGCCATTTGTTCAGCCTAGAATTTAAATTAGTAAACATCAATAATTATAACAATCCTGTGAGGATATTATTGATATACAACAAAATACAATCTAGTAATATCAACATATGAAAAAAAACCAGCATTGAATGTAATGAAACGCCATTTTCTGGGTGAAACCTGGAGGCTCCCCGGAGCTATACTGTACCAGGCTGCTGTGTATATATTAGACCGTGGCAACAGTCAATCGAAAGAGTTCTAGGCCTACTGGGGACCAGAGCCAGAACCTGGCCCCCTCAAGAGAGGCACGAGGAGCAATGGCCTAAAGACACCCCCCAAGTAATTGGAAGCAATTGCCTTTTGGAAGCAAAAGTATAGCCCTGGGGAGCCAAAGGGGCTCTCCACAGAAAAGTGAATGTTACCAAGATCTTTTTTTATACAATACTAACCAATTTATTGGTGATTTATTGAACATGTACAGTACATGATTATGTACTTTCTAGTTTAAATCGAGCAATGAATACAATGAAACTCCTTTTTTTTACATTGTTGCAAAGCCACTAACATATATAGCATTTCAGATAAAGTAAACAATTTACTAATTTACATGCACCAGGGGCCAGATTCACGAAGCAGTTACACAAGCACTTACGAACCTGTACATCTTTTCTCAATCATTGGCAGCTTTGTTTACAATTATTAAACAGTTAATGAGCTCTGAAGCACTAGGAGGCTGTTTATAACAACAACAACAGTTGACTGGGAAGTTTTCATGCCTGTAAACCGTTTAATAAATGTAGCCAAAGCCGTCAAAGATTGAGGAATGAGGTACACGTTCGTAAATACTTGCGTAACTGCTTCGTGAATCTGGCCCCTGATTTTCAAGTGCTTATAGATTCATCATTACTAAACATAACAAGGTATCACGCTTTAGAAAAAAAGAAAAAGTTAATTTAATGCCTGACTCGACATAAGATTCCAAAATCTCAATGATGTTAAAGAATACACAAGTAAATATTATATAAGGATTGCCATTAATGATAAAAATAATAACTGTATCTAAACACCATCCACTGCTGTCACACAAACAATTATTTTATATAAATCCAGCAGATGGATCATTACACCTACATGACCAGGGGATATGATAAGATCAAAATCCACAGGAATTGAGCACAAATGTAGCCAGTTTGGCACAAGTGTGTACCCCATGTGGCAAACCATGCAGAAGGAAAAAGCATACAGTGGGCTCAACACACACTTCAACTCCACAGCAAATTGGAAAAAAATTATAAGAATATTTAGAACTCATATGACAACAACCTATGAAGAAAATTATAGAAGTACATAGCACCAGCCTATGTTCAGGCACACAAGGGCCAGGAAGGAATATTTATCATTATCTTACAGAACCCTAAATGTTTATAAAACAGCGGATGGGTGGGCGAGTGAGTGAGGTCAGTCAGTGAGATAGACAGAAAGACACACAGGAGAGAATATTAACTAATATAATCAATAAATTTTGAATTCCTTCTCAAGTTTTAGAATGGTACAGATATTCATAATAATGCTTCTGTCCATTTCTCTCATCTCATATTGCATATGCATCTTTTCATTCTCCATCCCCCTAGCTATCACACAAGTCACATATATAGGAGAAACAAACCTGCATATTCTTAAGTCTGTTAGCAAGCCTAATACTGACTCGCTCCCATGTTAGGGCAATGTCATCCACTTGCTCTTTAATGGGATGTAGAGAGGCAGAATCATCAGACAAAGAAGCAAGAGCAGCATAGGACTCGTGCAGGCCTGTCAGCAAGGGCTTCTTGCGGCCCAAATCATCAATGGCATGCTGTAAAGGAGGGGTATGTACACTTCAAGGCCACGGGTAAATGTGGGCATTCTTTTACTCTTAAGAAACCAGACAATTCTTGAACTAGATGTTAGAGGAGTGGATTAACTTTTAAACAATTTTTAATGAGTTAGTACATTTTCATAACTGGATGTCATCCTTGAGTTATTAATGCTGTGTTCAGACAAGAACTAGCTAGTGTAACAATGGAAAAATAATTACAAAAATCTCATAAATTTACATTTTTATTATAAATGTATAAATATATTATATATATATATATTATTTATTATAAACATAATATATATATATATATATTAGGGGTATCACCTCTGGTGCAATTGTAGGGACCCACTGCCTCGAAGAAGAAAATAAAGAGTATTCAGAGAAGACTGTGGATTCTCACTGAACACTTTAATCTTTTCTTCTACCAACCCTATTATTTTTATAAATATTTTGTTTTATTTTATTTTATTGCAATGCTACAGTTTACAGAGAACACACATATATACTTTATAATAATATAACAATCAGTGTTCGAAGACCTATATACATACATACATACATACAAACAATAACAAAGAAGAGATACTTACAACAAAGTGAATCATTATATACACACTAAGCAATCTTTTTAAGGTAGCCAACTCAATTTTTAAACACTAACAATCATAATTTTTGTTATATAATTTGAAATATGATACAGTACAAATTAATTATGTTACTCATTGGATTTTAAAGTATATTTAAAGTTTATAATTAATTCATATAGACATTCCATCTTAAAGTAATCAAAACTACAGTAGGTACTTATACTGTCTCTTGGTACCTCAGCAAAATGAACTTCCCCTTCTATATTTTTTGCAGGAATAGTTGCCTCTCGTTGATCTAGTTCACACTCTGTAGTACTTAGCCACTCCTTCAAGTGACTGCAGTCTTTCTGAACCTTACGACTATGGCGAAGGGCCTTTTCTAAGATGCCACGATGTTCTGTTACTGTGCCACCAAGCTGTAGGTGTAAAAGCAGTATTTTTAATGCATTTAAAATTAAAATTGTAAAATTCTAAATTTGTCATAAATATTTTGTATTTATACAACATAAATACTTTATAAGTATTTATAAATTAATAAAATACTTTATAATATAAATAAAAAAAGGGAAGTGTTACATTTATTAAATTAATTACCGGGTAAATAAAAAAACATAGTACATTAAAAATATAAAAGGACAGTAAATGAATAACTTTTTAGAGTTGACAGAAGGTAAGAGAAATGGAGTAACTTGAGTTCACATCAAAGGATACGAGTGAATAAATGAATATGTTGGAAAAATGAAGAACCAAAGTTGTCAAGAAATTAGAGGCAGTATTGGATGGCAAGTTCAGTGTATACAATACCTTCTCTAAGAATAAAATTATGATTTAAAAATGGTGTATACAGTCAAATAAGAAACACATAACATGAGACCACATTTAAGATGTACTTTGAAAAGCCACCGGCTTTCTGTCCTTGTCAAGGCCATTTGAGTGTTAGTGGCCCTCAGGTAAATTCAGGTACAGTCCAGTACTATACGTCACTAAGCGGGCGTCTCTGGTAAACTGAGGTGGAGTCGGCTGTGCCACCAAGAACCATGTGATCGGTCAATCCATACTCGTATCAACAAAGTCACTAGTCGAGGCAAAAGTCGTAAGTCGAGTCGCATTTTCCGAAGGAATTTACGTCATAACTCAAAAAATTCTTAAGTAGGGGCAGTCGTAAGTTGAGGTACCACTGTATATGGATAATGCATTAAACTTGTTTAATTTATAAGGTATGTCTTGCTTTGATAAGCAAACCAATCCCATGGACTAACAAGAGTCTAACTGTATACAAAAATATTAGCTATAGATTTAACAAAGTAAAGGTTAACAATGCAGATTATCTTAATATATTTTTTATATGCGAATAATATGCTCATGTTTATTCAATATGGAAATATATACAATGCAATATATCAATACACTATTCAATATACGAATAAATCTACATGTTTAATATCTTGTCTTTGTTGTAAACTCCCCTTGCTTGATGAGGTAGCCACATGCGTAATACAGGTATTTCCAAGACATTTCACTTTTCCAAAATCAAGCAGAAAACACCAAGGAAATTAAGCTACGACACATGAAGCAATTGATGCTTGTCAGAACTACAAAACAGGAATGTATGGAATGTTTAAATTACTTCAGCAAGCACAAGCAGTGTAAGTAGGAAAGTAGCACAAAAATGCAGAGAGGCAAAGGCATGATAGCACAGCCACCATCATTGATGTTCCCCAGCTGGATCAAAAGGAGACTGAACTCCTGTGTATCACCTTGAAGAGGGAAACCACTTCCTGACCCAGCATGGAGTCATGCAGTCTTACACAAGCTATATAAAATGAATCTAGGAGCAGCTGGAACTACTCCCAATTTCCAAGTAACCCACAATAGTTCCACTGTAGTATTGCAGAGAATGTCTCATTTTGAGCACCCTTTATGAGATCCTTTGGCAAATGTTCTCACTAAATTTTTCTCGTAAAGAAACTTTGTTGATATATAGAATATAGAGAATATACAGTACATATACTGTATTTATTAATTTTGCTTAGACAGGTATTAAAAATTCTTATATACCGGTACATAATAACTCATACAAAGAGGTAATTATTGTCCTAAATATATTCATAATCCATGAGATAAGAATTCAGTCTCTAAGGATAAGAAAATCTAAAAGAGTGGTGATCACTGAGCTGATTACTATCATCACCACCATCATCATTGTCATCTTTTTTTCCATTTTCATTTAGTGGGGAGGCACCAGGCCAGAGAAGAAATGCAAGAAAAAATTATCAAAAGAAGGCACCAAGGCAGAAAAACTATGTAGTAACCAGAGAAGAAAAGAAGAGTTGTCCTGTACAGGAGAGAAAGGGTAAACATAATACAATAATAAAGCCATCCATGCTTTACACACTAAATACATCCATTTCACACACTAAATACAGTACTATCACTTTGAAAAAGCAATAATAATCCAGCACATAATCTACAGTAGCACTCCACAATTCCATAGTACAGTACAGTACTAGTCATGCTTACTACCAATTCAAATGCACTGTTCAAATTCAATCCCTACTTGCTCGCCCGATATGTCTGTCCTTCATGGAATTACTCTCCTCCTCCTCCTACTTTCTAATTTACTAGAATGCATCATTCACCATCACCAAATCATCTCGGCATTCTTCTCGATACAGTATTATGATTTGCCGAGTTTTACTCTCCACTTCGTGACACTATCCATTTCTACTGCTTTTATTTCTTAATGTTCATGCTCATGCCACACCAGGATCTTGCATATATATACACAAGACAAAATCTCAAATGAAAGCAACTTTCTTGATTGTACAGCTGACTCACTGAGAATAAAAGTGCATTAAGTTATGTACTTGATAACCAAACTTAGGCTATGGAAATACAGTACAGTACAGTACTGCCAAAATTGGGAAGTGACCATAGTGGATTACTCCTTTCTCAGTCCATTTCTTGGATATTTCACATGCCAGAACCCAAATAGTTCATCCAATAATCATATCACTAACTAGGTTCTCATCGTCTTTCTCTGTCACCATGACAAAAAATTCAGCAAATTATGTTAAAACAAAAATTATGGAAGACTGTGGTAAGTCTAAGTCAAGTAGTAGTAAGTATTCACCTAGTTGGGTTTGCAGGGGTTGAGCTTTGCTCTTTTGGCCCGCCTCTCAACTGTCAATCAACTGTTTACTACTTTTTTTTTTCTTTTCTTTTCTTTTTTCACACCACACACACCCCAGGAAGCAGCCTGTGACAGCTGACTAACTCCCAGGTACCTATTTACTGCTAGGTAACAGGGGCATTCAGGGTGAAACAAAGTTTGCCCATTTGTTTCTGCCTGGTGCAGGAATCGAACCCGCGCCACAGAATTACGAGTCCTGCGCGCTATCCACCAGGCTACCAGGCCCCCTTAATGTCTTAGCTTAGTACTTAGTGCTTAGCTTTCAGTACTTAACATAAGAGTAAATATCCACAACACCCACTGCAAGTGATAATCAGAAAACAAGAGCATGTCAGTTAGTTTAACTCTGCAAATGAAACCGTTAGGACACGACAGCTCAAAGTGGCTGAAGATCAAATTGCATGCACCCATTAAAAAGAGGGAAATGTCAGGGTCTTAGAATGGGGACTGGCAGCTCTGGCGACTTATTTTATTGAGTGTTGTCACTTAGAGACAGCAGGGGCAACTCCGTTTCTTAATTACTTATTAGTACAGCAATAATTATCATTCCTTGTGTTTTCCAATTATCACTTACATGAGGTTTTGATTATATTGCTCACTCTTTTGTATTACACTGAGCTGCTCCTTTAGTGATGGTGTGAATTAGGGACTCCACTTTTCTCCCTTCCCTAATTTCTGTGACAAGACAATTTGCCAATATCTTTGTCATGTGGAGAACAACACTGATTAGAGCCTAGCAGGTGATACTAGTCCTAGTGGACTGTATGTATCTGGTTCAAGGAGCATCTGAGAGGCCTTATTTCAAAAGAAAGTTATTTAGTAATCAAATAAAATATGTCTGAAAAATTACTGAAAATTATTTGTTTAATATTTGCATAAAATGAACAAACTAGGGAAGTTAATGCATCATTTTCTTGAGAGGTAAGTGTTTGAAGTTCACTGGGAAGATATTCTGCACCTAAAGTGCATAGTGGTTATTTCTGCATCAACCATCAAGCAGGAGTTAATATGAAAAGATGACATAGAAAACAGTAACAGGCAACACAGGGAAGTTTTTCTAGTCACATTGCACTGATAATTACTAGCTATTTCTACTTTTACAAGCTCTGACAAATTTAGTAAGTTTCAATAAAGGTTCAACATATAAAATATGTGCAACACCAACTTTATTATAAAGTGCTTTCAACTGGTCTAGCTGAAGAGTAAGACCATCTGGATCTGTAGATTGCCCTTCTTTAACTATTTTACGGCCTGTTGCTATCACGTTTTCCACTTCTGATTTTACTTCACTGAGTGTTTGATACAAATCCTGGAAAGATATAAAATAACCATATATTGTCTAATAGTAAAATTAAATTTGTGTAAAAGGAAATTAAAAATAAGACTGAGTGTAGATGAGAAGCTTGTTTCTTAGCAAGTCACTTGACTGCTCCTGTAGGTAAGGACTTGCTCCAATGGACATGACTCTGCACAGTCACAGCGAGTTGGTATCTCACTTTGGTGCAAGTAGACCTCTAAATATCCCTTCTGGGTCATCCTGGTCCAAGGGCAACACTAGAATTCTTAATGCAACCCAAAACTGCTTAGAGAAAGTTTTTCATCTACACTCAATCCCTTCTCAGCACTACAAGAAACTGCCAAGGAGCATTTTACTGATTGCTAGTTGGCCCACTAGACTGCAGTCCTACACTGCCACAAGGTGTCAGCTCCTAAATTCCACCAGCATACCCAGACTTTGTCCACCTACTAATCTACCCAAAACCCAAAAAAGCACAGGTAATAGTCATGAGAGAAGAGATGGAATGATGGCAACCAAGCGGGTTGCTCAAAGCTTCAGGCCTACATTCAAAGTACTATATAATGAGTTGTACAACTTCATTGCTCCCTTAAACAGGTGGTACCTGGAAGAAAGTAATTAAATAATAAACACAGTTGTGCTTTGGTTAACGAATTTAATCCGGTCCGGCACCAAGCTTGTCATGTGAAATGCTCGTCTTGCGAAACAACAACACTGTCGTCGGAGGCATCCGATAACCAGCGGGAACACTAGGAAGCACCACATGGTTTTCTCATTAACTGAGCGGAAGTTTGTCACTCGAGACAAATTTTCTGCGAGTGGTTCACTCGTTACCTGAAATACTCGTAGATGGGGCTGCTCGTCACCTGAGGTTTCTCTGTATCGGAGTTTCTTATTAGTTTAGTACTTTCTTCCTTAAAGAGTACTCATGCTTAAGGGAGCAACGGAATTGTACAGCTTGTTGTTTTAGATTCAGCTACTCGGAACAAAAAGTTCCAAGTAGCACTGGCTATGGTGAGCCCGTAGTGGAATTACCTGGCACAGGAGCAAGGCTGTATGCTCTTGTACAGCTCATTAAGTGTAGCTTGAGGGAGCCAATGGGATGGCAAATCTCTCTTGTTCCAGATATCCAAGCCAACAGACTCCCACCTGTAGTTATTATTGAGAAGACAGAGGACCATGCCGCATATACTGAGGGTACAGGTGGGAAATTCAAGGGAGGTATAGAATTAGAATGCAAACATGAGATTTGTCCTCCAAAATCTCGAGATCCAAGAAAAGAAGCCCTGAATAGCTCAACATCACCTGCCAAACCACATAGTTATTGGTCAGAATTGTTGGCCATGATATGTGGGCATTAACCCATCTATGAATTGAACATCATTCTGTGTTCATCTAAGCAGTCCCCGTGGTGCAGTGGTTAAGACACTCGCTTTGGCTTGGGTTCGAATCCTTGCCGGGGAGGATTGACTGGGTGCCAATCCTTAACTGTAGCCTCTGTTCACCCAGCACTGAATGGGAACCTGGTTGTTAAATGATTCGGCGGGGTCGTATTCCAGGGGAAATTAGGATTAAGGACCTGCCCAAAACGCTACACGTGCTAGTGGCTTTACAGGAATGTAAACTCTTGTATGTAAACTATGGTTGGGAGAGTTTTTCACCACTACAAGGAAAAGGTGGAACTGAAACTACAATGAATGTAGCCCCCTTAATATGCAAACCCAGCACTAATGCCAAAGCACATGATCCAAAGAAACTGCTAAAGTAATGGAAACCTCAAAAAGATAAACATAGCACTTATTGATGGTTCCTTTGATGTCAAGTCATTCTATGCTGGATTAAGAATTCTCCAGTGACTTCCTTGCACCAGTATTGATTTAGGAGCTATGTTTCAAATGAATCCCATTGTATGATATACTGACCAGACCTGACTATGCACATTCCTTTCAATGGAAAGAGCAGAACTTTGCCTAAAAGAAGCAACCGAGTGTTAAAGCTCAGAAAAAAATTGAAAGTGCAATAGCAAATATAAGCCATGTGTGTGTTAAATCAAACCTGAGAACCATGTTTTTAACAAAACAGACAAGTAAAAACAATCAGATTTCTAACAAACATACATTAATTTTTAATATTTACAAAGACTTGTTATCCTTAGTATTCTCCAACTTACCAAACATTGATTTAGTTGTTCTTGAATCCCATCAGGGTTCCCAGAGTCTACATTAACCAGATGAACTCTCTGACCAATTTCTTGGAGCTGCTCATTCATCTCGTTGAAGCGAGTGTCAAAGTCACTTGGCTTTCGACAGATATGGAGCTTCATTTCAATCTCTTCATATTTTTTCTAGAAGAGCAAGAGAAAAATAAAATGAAAACTTCAATATTCCAAATTAACCAAAGCCTTTTATTTTTGTCTATGAAATTTAAATGAGAGGCCAGTGAATTTATCTCCTTACACTATTCTGTATTGTTATTTGAATACTTTTGTAAAAAAAGTGAGAATCATAAAAATAGTAGGGAGGGGATGAGATAAAATATGGCAGAGGAGAGAAAAGAATAGAGGAAATGAAAGGATGGGGTAACAAAAAGGAAGAGAAACCAACCAACCTGCAGGTGGGTAATTTGATCTTCTAGGCGCAATGCAGCTTCCGTTTTTCCTTGACTGTGATAGACTTCAACCTGAGCCTGCATCTTCTTGAGCACATCTTGTTGTGTCAGCAGCTCTGCTTGGACCTTAAAATAATTTTGTATTAGTCAACCTTTTCACTAAAACAATGGTATCATTAAACTTAATGCAAATGAGCCTTTGTAGGTTACAAATTTTTCACCAACCATGTATATTGCACACTCAAAAATTTGGATCACATTGTTCCAGGCCCTGATCCAGATTCCCAAATAATGGTAATTTTTAAGCAATTAAAAAATTTAAAATTTTTCTTACAGCTAATGGTATATACTGTAATACATGTTCCAGCATAATCAGACATATAAAAATTATACTGTATAAACAATGATTTTGCATACATATAAATGACAATTTTGCCAGAAAAAATAGGAAACATTAATTTGTTCACTTAAATTTTTGTAACGGGCTGGTCTTGTCACCCATTGAGCCTCCCTACAAGCTCCCAATTCTTATTGTTAATACCATTCTCTTAGCTACAGACTGTCCATTTTATCATGTCTACCTGCCAACCAGACACATCATACACAAAACGGATCACACCCAGATATTTCTACCATTTTGCATACAAAATTTACACGCCTCTCATACAAATTATTGCTCAATATTAAGGGCATAATATAATGCTATTTACAGTCCAAATTTTCTACTTAGCATGCATATCGCTACTGATTGAAGAACAGGGCTGTGATATACATAATCTGGGCTTCATAAGATCAATGCACACGAGTGTAAACACTTAGGTAATTACAACACATTGTAATGTCCACAAACCTTATCGAATGCTCAGAGATGCTTGACCATCATCAGTTTTTGGTAAACTCTGATTATATTTATTACATAATATCATACATGTATATAACTATGTATCTGAAGAAAAATATGTGTTACAGTATTAACCAAATAGAAGTCAGAAGCCACACACCTGTTCCCACGTCTTATGTGGGGACAGCAATTTACTTAAAAGAACAGTAAATGAATGAGAAAAATTACAGGTGATGAAAGTAGTTCACATAAACTATAACATTTTTAATTATTAATTTCTCACTTACCTGGACCTGATCAACTTGAATTTGGTCCGTAATAGCTTGAGTGAGGATTAAATCGGATTGTGCTAGATAATCAAGGACACTGACATACTCCCTTTCCCATGCTTGGGCTTCCTGCACGCAACCTTCTAATCCAGATTGCTGCTCACTTGCCTGAATTCAAAAGACATACTCCATTAACTATTATAAAAAAATTATGAATGAATAATTATTTTATCATAATGTACTGTATCCAAAATACAGTATACATATTATATAAGCTTCTTCACCTCTTTGTTCAAATTTTATAGCATGAAATTAGTTAGATAGTTATTATCTATCTTTAACATTTAGTCTTTTCTGCTTACAATGGAGTGGCACCTGATGAACTTCCTCTATAAATCTTGCATTCTTATTAAATGATATATATACACATACACTAAATTTTCATCCCTACCTTAAATATTCTCGCAGACATTATTTTTTGTTCACCCGGCATTAGATCATTTATATACAAGGATTCCACCCTACCATCTTCCTCAGAATTTTCAAAACTATATTTCTTTATTATGCAAATAATAAAAAATACTGCTCTTGTCTACTAAGCTCTGTAGTGCATTGCTGGCCATTTGAGATGACACATATATATATATATATATATTATATATATATATATATATATATATATATATATATATATATATATATATATATATATATATATGGATGCATTTATGACTCGTCCCCCATTGAGAGCGTTAAAAATTTGATATTTATATTAAATGATATATGTACAACAAAAAACTGGTTTGGTTACAAGATGGAAAATTATAAAGCTATTGTAAAAGCTAAAGATCATATATCATGACCACTCATAATACCTCTGCTATTTAATGGCTAATTAAGAGTGTTAACTTTGCTGTTTTTTTGCACTTCCAGAGCTTGATACTTATAATCACCTGAATCTTCAAGTATGCCCGATGATTTCCAAAACTTAGTCTATTAAACCCACCAGGCAAAATATACTAGAGTAATGTTCAATCAAAGAAGGATCAATGTAATCAATGTTATTTCAATGTACCATCAACATTGTTTTCCCAGATTTGTCCAGGGGCATACAGCTAATCCACTTGCGAGGGATTTGTGCTATATAGTCGTACTGGCTTAGTGCTTTCTCTTCATAATATTCTTTTCCTTGCCAAGGGTTCATTAAATAATCAAACCTCTTTCTGTAAGAAGTTCTATTGAAAAGTACCTCTCTGGCAAGTCTGAGAAAACACTCTGGGAGCCAAGCTTGTCCCTAAACCTTGGATGAATGGGCACATGCTAATAGGAAGCCTGAAGGATAAAAAAAAAAAAAAAGAAAGACCAACTGAGATTACATGGCAGATCACCAACATGATTATCACATGGAAATTAAGACAGTCTGAGTTGATCGTAACAAATTGAGGATTACTATACTCTTGGTGAAGTAAAAAAACAGACAACATGAAGTGAATGCGTAGTACCAATCACCCCCTTCTCCCATGACACAGGATAAACCTGAGGGATTATTGATAGAATTAGTTGGGGGAGGACAAGGAGTTAATGTACAGACCATGTCCAGACACTCCAACTATGAGGCCTGGGAATCCTTGATCCAAGCCTGCTGTAAGGTTTGTGAACACTAGCACAACAGGGCTGGCAAATGAGTTCCAAACAGCACCATCATAAGCCTGAATCAAAAGAGAATATCAAGGATGGTAGAGGATGAACCAAACTCAATCAGAGTTAGCTTCAGAGACCAAGAAGTGTATCAAGAAGTGCATCTCCCTGTATCTCAAGATGTTTGCTTCTTTCAAAACTTCTCCCACGTATGAACAGCATGATGGTATTGGGTGAAGGTATGGAGTAACAAAAACATCATCAGCCACCAGTAGTGTAATGATCCAAACTCAAAGTAGAAACAAGCAAGCATCATACTCAAACTGAGCACAGGCAAAGACAATTCCCCCACAAAAGAAATATTTTTCTATTAGTCTGGAAACTAACTCCAAAGTAGTGTTGATCAGAAACTAGAATGAATCATCCAACTATGCCTCAGGGTGCAAATCTCTCATTCCCCAGGAAAAATGAGGGACTGAGTGGCACACACACAGTTCCCGTAAAGTTAACCGAGAATCCCTGAGAAAAAGTGCCAAGCACCAAGGTACCATTTTTGGTACACTGCCAGAGGAATTACACAATATGGTATAATACAGAAGGACTGTAAGGATTATTTGCTTTTTAACCTACAGTGCTGTATTGATGATGAATGTGTTTGATACTTTGCCTAAAAAATTTGCATATTTGAATTTAATCTGAGGTTGGAAATGACCTGGAGCATTAGTTTGTCAATCATCCTGGAATAATATTTATATAGGTTGTTAATACACTATATTAATCATCTGCAAAAAAGTTGAATATACCTCGGTACTAAATTTTTGAAAAAACTATTCATACTTTATTATCTACATATGACAATGTCTATAGTAAGAGAGATGGATGGAAAGGCAAGAGCTACATTATATAAACTCCCCATATTAATAGTGGTAGGAGGCATTTATTGAAACAAAATGTATCCATACGAAACAGGTGCTCGTTCTGTCACCACCTAAGGTCAAATGCCTGAATGCAATCACAAGCAAGGTCTTAAGGCAAAGTATCACACTACTAAATTTCAAAGCATAAACTCATAGATTGATACTTTGAAATAAAATGTTGTACAGATGAACAGGTTGGACTAAGACATGAAAATGTTACATACACCTATTTATAGGTAGGAAATAAAAATAATATTTATAAAAGTTATATATGCAGCATATACATTTACTGTAAATGCAGAAATCAATAAAGTGACAAAGAAAGCATACTCTATTACATAATATACACCAAAAAACTACAAATTTCAGGTGTACATAATAAAACTCCAAATTTTTTGAAGTTCTACATTATAACTTGATAACAAACATTAAAACATTCATATTAAAATATAATGCAACATCTTTCTTCAGCCACATTACTGCCTATGCCTACCATATTAAGTTGACTTGTTAGGAAGTAATGTACAACTTACAAATGCTTGACAGAAAAGACTGGTGAGCTTTGTAAGCATGTTGGGAGAAAAATAAATTTATACGACAACAAGAGAAATTTCATCATCAGTATACAACAATCCTACTTTGGTCAAACAAACTATCAGAAACTTGGGTACTAAATTATTAGGTAAGACAAGATAGTGTGCATGCCTTAAATATGCAATAAATATTGAATTGCCTATAAATATTATAGTAACCAAATTTGTAGTCAATAGATAAGCATGAATCAAGGCATCCCTGATCCCTTTTCCTATTTATCTGCCCCAAAAGACTAGCAGTTTTGAAAACCTAGATTGGTGGAAGGACTGGTACTAAACACCACTTTTTTCACTTGGGCACTTTCCATAGTCAAGCTAATGCACTATTTAATTATTCTTGCTAGCATGACTGCCTTTTCTCCCAAATTAGAGTACTGTATCTTAACTATAAATGGACTCTCTCCACTGCACTAAGGCACTAATGTCATTCTAAATCCATTAAATCCATAGCATGCATCAATACAACCTCACACTTAACTAATTACACTTTATTATCTACATGTGCAATCTATGAACAAAATTGTGCAAATAGAGAGGATGTAGGAACTAAAACTGTATAAAAATGTATGCTTTTATGCAGGGGCAGCTAGCCGATAGAAGCCGGAGAGCTGTCCCCCCCCCCCCCCTTCCCCCAAGACACTCCCTACCAGGAGTGTCTGGGAGACTCGGCACTCATTTGGCAGAGTATGTACGTGAGGTAGCGAGAGGAAAAGTGGGGGGAGCCTTTTAAGATCAATATCTTTATTTGATAATAGGAGCTTTCCTAACTCAAATAATGTGGGGTTTATTATACTACATATTTTTAATGTCTCTTAGATGGGCACAATGTTGACCAAACCACACACTAGAAAGTGAAGAGGCAACGTTTCGGTCCGTCCTGGACCATTATCAAGTCGATTGTGATAATGGTCCAGGACGGACCGAAACGTCGTCGTCTCTTCACTTTCTAGTGTGTGGTTTGGTCAACATTTTTTCAGACACCAGACACATTATTGTGACACTTTATCTGCACATGGGCACAATCTCTCAGGCTATGCCCACTCCATCAACCTCACACTACAATAACAAGTAACCAACAAATGTGTCATAACAAAATTTTTATATGCTATTTTCAAAAGATAAAATTTTTTTTAATTAAAACAAAACATAAACAAGAGGTTTTATGTTGTACAATAGTGTAGCATTAATCAGTGCTATATCTGGCAATGTTGAGCAGTCCCTTCCCCTCCCCTCACCATTCTAATTTTCCATGAGCGGCCACTGCTTTTATGGACTAAAAGCATCAACATCGATATGTCAGATGGGTAAGTGTAGGGTTGTATGCTTATGGTTTGATAAAAGGCATACAAATTAGAAGCTTCTCAAATTGAGAATGGGCAGGCACAGACAATATCTCGGCTAAATAACATTACTGTAACTTCACTGCATTAGTACCATCACCACCACTTACAACCTACCTCTCTAAAAATGCCATCTTTACAATATAAGCACCATTTCAATAATTAAAATACTATTTCCATTATATATCAATTAAACTAGATAATCCAATGAAAAAAGAATCTACCCTCATTATGCAGGGTCCAATATACACAGAGCCAGAACCCAACTACTGCACATATCTTTTCTAACATATATAACGCCTTAACTAATAAACCTATGCCCTTTTCTCTACTACAAGTCCTCTTCAACTGCTTAAAGACTACCTTCAATTACTGAAGTAAAATATCTACTAAACAAATTCTGCATTCAATACACAAAGTCCGTCTTCTTCACACAAATCCTGCATCATCTACTTCAGTCTTATCTCAGTGCTGAAACTCAATCTCCACTGTCTAAATCCTACAATACAATGGTATATATACTGTGGTGCTTTCCAAATCTGTGCAGTTTTGTGACCATTTTCCTTTATTCCTTAATGTGAACATTTTAATTTTGGATGTTGTCTTCACAGTGATTTGCAAATATTAAAAAAAAAAAAAAATTAACCCAAATTGCCCTACAATTACAAAAATAAAATACAGTATGCTCATTTTAAACAAAATTTTACCAAAAACAAAAATGCTGATTTACCCTAACTGACCGACAATTACAGAGATTTTCCTATAGTTAAATTGGTAGCGAGTGCAGAATGAGAATAAATATAAAAGTAGTAGATAATACACATTTTTATAACACTATATAACCAAAAACTAAAGAAATTAATTTCCCCCAAATTTCCCATTAATTTATCTAAAATTATGTAAATACAGTATTACAGGTGAATAAAATATTGTCCTACATTTATATTGGTAATAAATGTTGAAAATTATACACTGTTAAAACTGGAAATTATGTAATATGAACACCCCACAAATAATTGTCATTGTTATAATTTTAGCATGGAATTATATGCCAATGATTGGTCTACCACATGTCCGGATCAAAATGAACAATGCAAGATAAATACATTTACTATGACTTTTTTTATTATTAGTGTTAGAGAATGATGGATTATGGTTAATTTATAATTACCTTAATATGCTTCAAAGATTATTAAGTCTATATTTCACTGCACTACTCTCCTATTGTCACAAACCGGTATATACATTATAGTAAATGTTGGCTCAATTTTTTTTTTTTTTTTTATCTAGGGGGTCAGAGGTTGTCTGGGGTCTGATGGGTCAAACAAAATCCCCAATGAAACGAATAGGCCTGGCCCCATATAGTTCATTAAAATGAGTTCACACAACATCATTCCAAGACATAATAATAATAATAATAATAATAATAATAATAATAATAAATCATAATAAATCATTATAAATCATAACAAATATTATTTAAAATCTTTAAGTATTATTGTTTCAGCTTATTAAATCAGCAATGAAAGACAATGGCTATCAATAATAAAAACACAATGTAATGACTGAATGAAATTAATGCAACGTAAAGAGCAGCAATTTGGTAGGTCCCTTAGTCATACATAATGTACCTGTCAGGACAGCGACTCCCCACAAGGGTCCAAGTGAATAGCTGCAGGCAGCTCACAAGAGATCACATCTCGGTCCACTCCGAGATGGCCACTCATTATAACACAGAAATCATTTAAATCACTCCAAACTCTTTTCAAACTTTTCTTGGAACTGAAAAATTGCCAAATTTTCATCAGAACTAGATAGTATCCAGCCATTCTATTCTTTAAAAACTAAAACTCCTGTATCCTTATCTCACCTGGGCATTAAGAGTGTCAAAGCGAGATGTGAGGGAGCGAGTGATTTCTTGTACAGGCTCGGAAACACAGCCCTCACGTACAAGTGATTCTGCAAGACTCCTGATCTGTTCCAGTCGACTCTCATCATGACTATGAAGAAAAATCTCGAGTTCCTGTTTATGAAGAAAGAAAATTAATTATATGTTCGGTATTCATAAGAGCATAAGAATAAAGGTAACTGCAGAAGGCCTATGGGCCCGTACGACGCAGCTCCTATTTATAACCACCTAATCCCACTCGTATACATGTCCAACCCACATTTAAGAGTCTCTGAATCTTGCAGTAAGGTATCAACACTGCCACTCTTCTGGTCAAAAAGGTGTCCAGCAGCTTGACACCATCATAAATACTGTCAAGCAGTATTCATCCCCGCCATAGCCCGATTTAAATGCGACCTCAGCACACAGTATACATTCACTCCAAAAAAATATATATATTGTGTATACCACTTACAGGTTATTCATGCCCGTGCCACTCTTGGGTAGCTTAATCTTCACCAATCAATCAGGAGCGAAGTCACTAATTCAATGACAAACGCTCTGCAGTATTGTAACAATTTTACTCAATTAAGTACATTGGCCGTATTCAAGCATTCAAGCTACCCATTTTTTAATGAGCTCGTGCCATTTTAAATGTAACTAAAGTGACGCCATTACATTACCTAATGTCACTGATTACATTTCCACGTGCTTTTAGTCATGTTTTATTCAGATATAGAATTATGATTAAAAGAATTTTTTTTTTTTAATCATAGGTTAATTTTATGAAGCAAGCCTGAGTTCCACTTTTATCAAAGTTTAATACTTTCGCACTCTGATGACGGTGCTGACATCATAAAACCAAAACACGCATAAGCCCTGATGACGGTAAAACCATCATCACTTATTAAATTTGTAAAAATTCCATTTATTGTCCGAACATTATGGGACCAGTTTTAAAGTGTGCTGCGATATTGCGAACAATTTGTAACCAAAATGAATGACAGCACGAAAATTGAGGTGAGAAAGCTGAAAAAGAGCATAAACATTTGAGTGTGGTTTATGTGCTCACGGCCAACGCTTGGCCTACCTTGCGGTGAACAGTGGGTCGACCGTCGGGAATGCGAAATTGTTAAACAAAGTATTGTTAAACTGTAGCCTTTATATTAAATATGATTTTTCCAATTAACTATCTTGCTATTTTCTCTATAAACTAATTCATTTATCCATGTCTTCCTGCTACCTTCTTATCTGTAAATGCGTGCAGAAGCAACCCTCATTCTTTCCACACTGTGCTTATTTGTCATAGTACTGTTGAAGCATATGAAATTCTTAAACAAATGTTTCAAATGTTATTAAGACTATGATAATTTACTTACATGAACATTTTCCAAGGTGATTACAATATTAGATATATGTTGGATTACCTTATCAGTCATACAGTACCTACATACAGGTGAAAATGCACTGAGCACATACTATGCCAAGAACAAAAATGAGCAGCAAAATACATTTTATATCACATAAATTATGAGTCCAATATGTTAAGAACTAGCAGAGTTATTGTACCTTTAATGAATAATCACTAGAAAGAATTAACCCTTTGTTTCTCCCTTACTAGGAAATATTTGGTGACTTGCTTAACAAATGTAAAAGCATCATTCAATAAGAAGCTTAAGAAAAATAAATATTAAGTAGAAAAACAAAAAAGTTACCTGCAATTTAATTATCCCATAAGGTAGCCTACATTACAGTACAATACTTACATCCAATGCTTCAGATATTTCCTCTGCATCTGCTGCATCCTTTGATGACCTCTCAAGTTTCGCTTGAAGTTGGTCCAGCCACTCTGACTCCTCAGAACATACCTCTGAAAATAAAAGTATCATAAAGTTGATGTGGTTTGTTAAAGTAGTCCATTCAGTAGAACTTATGATAAGGAATGACTTAAAACAAGAGAGGCCTCCTTCCAGTCCAGGACCAATAAAGAATGATAGATATGCAAATTCAACTAGAACCTGGCATGATGGTAGTGAAGCAGTGTGAACCGATGGCCCCTGGCGAGGAAAGCAAAAGAGGTCATGATCGTAAAAAAAAAAAAAAATTACATATAATAACAGAAAATGGGAAACTTTGAATACAACAAATACAGTATTCTTTTGCTAGGGATACGACCCAGTCTGAGCTCTTAGACTGAGCAGTAGTTCACTTTATAGAAAAATATTAAAAAAAAATGCCATTTCTATGAGCTTCAGATTATTCCAAGTCCAGATTATCAATGCTACACTGTAAAGGCAAAAATAATTACAGCATTACAAACTAGAATTATAAAATACTGTATAGTTGTGTTCTCAAACGGATAAGAGTTGCCGAATAATAGATGTATGACTATATTAATATATTACAAAGTAAATGTTGGGTGGTGGCAATACAAAAAGCCAAAAGTAGATCTAGACTCACATAGAGTTGACATACTAAGTGAATACACCATTTCAATAAGAAATTAAAAATACCCATTAGGCCTACTTCTCACACACTTGACTACTTCTCAATGTCAAGTGAGGAGGGTTATAGCTTCACAAATTAAAAACTTACTTTAATATAATTACTTACTCTTAAAATCTTCATATTGTTGGGCTGCAGTTATAAAAACTTTGTATTTCGAGTCCACCTGGCTGACAACTTCCGTCCATCTACCGTTAAGCTGTGTGAACCGCCTTGCCAGTTCTTCATGTGTAGCTGACGAATCAAGTTGCAACATTTCGTCACCTATAATGAAAATTAATGGGTATTCAAGCCAAATGAACACAATTCCCTTATTAAAAAGCTAGAAATATGACAGGTGACTAAGGAAGTTAGGACTAAATTAGAAGGAGCTATGTCAAAAGGAGAACTCAAGGCTGCTAATGGGAGTTAGAAGTTGTCTGTTCCTGTACCACAGAAAATAATTACCTTTATACAAGCAGAAAATACTTATTTCTCTAAAACACAATACACCAACCAACATCATCCGAGGCACCATTTGAGTACATCAGCTACCAACTGCTGACATGGTTCAACATTGTGTTTTACACTATCAAAGCTCTCAATTTATGTACTCAAAGTGGATAATGTAAGTAAAGAAAAAGCAAACGGAAAATAAGAAAATAACAAACGAAAGACGGTACAGATGAAAATTGAAACTACAAAAACAAGCACAAATAAAATGAAAAATTGGAAAAGCTCTAGTAATGTATTTTACGGGAAATTCAAAACACCATAACAAATAAAGTGACTGATTTAAATACAAGAAAAGGAAGTACTGCATCACATAGTCAGAAGAAAGTAATACACTTACCAATGTTATTGATAGCCCTTAGGTCATCACTGTGAATGCTAATATCCTCTCGTAGCCGAGTAAAAGTGTCAACAGCAATACCGAGCTCCTCTGGTGTATTTCTTGGAACATTGGAAGGAATTTTTGGTTCCAGCTCATCAAGCCATTCATTTAGCTTATCAATACCATCATGCACCTGAATTGAGAACACGTATTTTAACAATACTTTTATAAAGTAACAAGGAATTTATTTTTGAGGCAATCAATATTATATCAATGTGATTTTACGATGAATCCCTTGTAAACATACAATTTAATGTACAGTATAAATTTTCTTAAGGATCCCTTCTTAATCAAGGGCACTAACAGTTATCAGTGCCATGACATAATTTATAAGAGAATACATACACAAGTTCTTAAATTTAATTTGTATTATGACTTTTTGTTAGAATTAGCACTTTAACTAAAGATGATCATATTTATGAGGAAAATAAAAATACCTTCTGACTACGAGCAAGAGCTTCCTTTAGACTTTTATTCTGCGCTCTAGCAAGCTCAGTAACAAGATCCCAGCGTGAAGTCAACTCCTCTAGCTGACTTTCAACTATATTCTTAAGCTCAGAATCGCCTTCGTCAATCAGCTGTTTTCCTGTAGTTGTGATGTTGTTCACATTGGTCTGTAAGGTTGCCACATCATCTTGGAGAGCCTATGGATGGAAGCATTGTTTTAACTAAAGCAAATAACATTCACAATGATAATCAAACCCATATAAAACTAAAAATGTTATGTTATATTATAATATGAAATAAATATATAAATATATATATATATATATATATATATATATATTATATATTATATATTATATATATATATATATATATATATATATATATATATATATATATATATATATATATATATATATATATATATATATATATATATATATAATGGGAAAAGGACATAGAAATATTAAACAAAACTTATTTACAGTATTTGGAAAAATAAAGTAATGAGAAAACACCACTTATATTAACTGGACAATTGAGTGGCCATTTTAGTAAAACAGCAAAGTTTTATTAATAAGACAGAAAATATGAAATGGCAAAAGTAGTCTTCTTTGTAGATTTGCTGAAACTGCACAGTGTTCATACTGATGCATAAATTATCAAACAATTTGTCTATTACAGTATACTTTACTGCAGTGGCGGATCACCAATTGGAGCTGCTGCCTGCAGTCCCCCCCCCCCCTGCCTCCCCCAGACACACTGCCTGATGTATGACTCCATCAGTCTCACATAAGCATAATGAGCAACTAACAAATTTGACATAGCAAAAATTCTTTGTGTTTTTTTCAATATATTTATAACTAAATTTTGAAAATTTTCATTAAATAAAAAGACACAAAAATAGAAGGTTTTCATGCTGAACGATAGTGATGCAGTCCCTCCAGTCAGTGTTGCCACAAGCCGCCACTGCCTTACTGATAACAAATATAAACAAGTAGCCACTGTGCTACTTGTTTACTACTTCCAGTGTTTGGAATATTTTCAAGTTGAGTACATAATCTGGTATCTTACATTAGACTGCTCCAATTGAGCTTCCAAAGTTTCAATGTCTCCTAGAGCAGCCTCCTCAGCTTGCAAGAAAATGTCTACCTCAGCAAGCCATGACTTCAACCCGGAAACTTCATCTTTGTACTGCTTCTGTTTCTCAATCACTGTTGAAAACAAAAAATCATGTTTATCAAAGAAAGAAAGAAAAATTTAGTTCATTAATTAACCAGAGCTTTTTTGAAAACTTTAAAATTTGTAAACAAAATGTACTTTTGATAGATGAATAGTTTAGTAACAAAGAAATTTTGTGTATTTTTTACACACACACACACACACGAGTTCTTACATTCTTGTAATGCCACTAGCACACAGAGTTTCGGGCAGGTCCTTAATCCTAATTTATCCCCGGAAAACGACCCACCAAATCGTCTTAACAACTAGGTACTCATTCACCGCTGGGTGAACAGAGACTACAGTTAAGGATAGGCGCCCTAGTCAATCCTCCCCAGCCAGGATATGAACCCAGGCCAAAGCGCTTTACCACTGCGCCACGGAGACTGTCAGGACTATTAAAAACTCAAAATCTGTAACTCTACCCAACACTTCCAATGAATGCCGTTTTCATTCTGAATTTTTCATTCATTGCAAACATTATTGTTTCTTAGGGCTAGTAAGAATGACTAATGCTAATATTGCATAAATGCAATATTCATCCCATTAAATGTAATGATGGTTCAGTAAGCTTCATACCTTTCTCAATGCTTTTAATACGAAGCTGAAGAGCTTCAGTGGTAGTTTCCCACTGTTTATTCAGTTTTGTGATGTCATCCATTATGTTTACATGGCCATCTTTACTGAGCTTATGACAAGTTTCATTTATGTGAGCCATATTTCCTTGTTCCATCTCAACCTTCTCAGACAGATCCTGTAAATACAAATCACAAGTTTAATGATAAAAATGCATGTAAATAAACTCGCTTAAATAGTTAGCAATCTTTAAGGCTTGCACGAGTTGATGCTTGAAGCCCTACCTTACAACAAGAAGAAGGATATACAGTGTACTGTACTTTTATAAATATACAATCTGTTAAAATAACACACTTTCCCAAAAACTTAAAGAATCATTTCGATCGCAAGACCATGTGGATTAAACACAACATGGTAAAGTGGTATTTAATAGTCTTGCAGAGGATGCAAAAAAGAAATGCTGATAATGCATAAAATGTAACACGGAGTGAAATTTAAGTTTCAACTGAACCTGCTGCATGTATGTGCCTTCAGAAACAATCTGTCCTGCTGGCTCTAATGACTTGCTCATCCACTGTGATCAGTAATTTTCCAAATAGTTTGGTTAAAAATAGTTGGGAAAGAAAGATAGTGACAAATCTAACTTCAGCAATCACTGAAAAACCAACTCACTGTTATACAAAAGAATAAAGCAAACAACAACACCTAAAAAATAGATTACATATTTAAGCATAAAGTTAACTAATATCAAACTACAGAGTGTAACCTCCTACCTTAAATTTGGTAAGGTAATCCTGCATTTGTGGAAGAGTACTGACAGAATATTCAGTTGCCAGTGCAGCTTCTAGACTCTCTAACCATGTGCTGGAGGCTCCCATTGCTTTAAGTAGAGACTCGGGCACAGGCTTTAGAGGCGTTCTGGCTGAAGGTGTATCAGCTTCAGCTAATTTGTGTTTTAGAGTTTCATTCCATTCCAGAAATCTGTCAAGAATTAAAATATTTATAATTTCTTTGCATAATTAATGGAGATGGCCAAATTATAAATTATCCAGAAAAATTCTGCTGTTGACTACCTCCAGATCTTTCTAAAATTATGACTAAATCAACACCAAAATGCTTTTTAATAAATTACATATGCTTAGAAGAAAAGCTCCTATGATCATTATGCAATAATCCACAAATCAGAACTTAATATATAAAGTTCCCGAAGTTACTGCTAATTCATCCTTTTACACTTAAGACATTCCATACCTGATAATTTACTGTTTTTGCATCTGCCTTAATAATACTGTACTTTGTAATTATTTTGTCTGTTTGTAATTAAATCAGCAACTTTACTTCTCTCTCAAAATATATATTCATTAAATTTTACAATTGTCACTTTTCCTGGTTACCTCTATTCATATCCCTAATGCTTACCTTTGCACAAGGATTTCCCATTTGGAGTAGAAGGTATCTATCTGCTGCGCAAGAATGTGGGTCTCTTGTGCCCATTTTAAATTTAAGGCTTTAGCAGCAGACTGTAGTGCCATAATATCTTTACTATGACTTTCCATTGCAGCAATTTTGCTCTGTAATAAAGCCAACAATTAGTTATCTTCGGATAGTTGTAATTTTATGTCAGGAAGGAAGAGGAGTAATTATTCTCCGATTACGCCTGTTGGAGATTATTCTGACAGGATTAATCATGTTGGAAGACCATACTTTTAAAGAACACAAAGTTGGTGTCACAACTGCAAGAAAAATGCTTAATAAAACATCTAAATTATTGGGACTGCCTAAAAATTTAAATCTGTATACCCTAGAGTGCACACAGGAGAAATACAGTACATAATAATTTACACTTGGAAAATATTAAATGACTGGTTCCAAATCTACACACAGAAATAACACCACACAAGACCAGAAGGCATGGTAGGATATGGAAAATAGACCCACTGAAAAGCAGAGGTGCAATAGGCAAGCTCAGAGAGAACTTGATGAATATCAAAGGCCCACGACTTTTCAACACTCTTTCTGTACACATACGGGGCATAACTGGCCAACCTCTTGTAGTGTTCAAAAGAACTTGACGAGTACCTTCAAAGGACACCTGATCAACCAGGCTGTGACTCATACATCAGGCTGCAAGCAGCCACATCAAACAGCCTGGCTCATCAGACCAGCAATCAGGAGGCCTGGTCGGAGATCAGGCTGTGGGGAAGTTGATCCTCTGAATCATCAACTAATAGTCAACACTGACAGAAATAGAAATGCAAACTGCCAAATATCTCCTGTATGCCATGCCCCACTAATCAATAATGCCTATGCATTTGCCACAGCACATAAATATTCTTCATATGATCTTACATATCCACCTACAACTTTAAGAGCAAATATGGCAAAGAAATAGGCCATCAAGAAATGTAAATGAACCTGATACAAAGAGCAAGCTCTCACACCATACAGACACTGACCAACTGACTGATTGATAGGAAAGCACACCACCATCAAAACACATCCATTCCACAATAACATCTCCAAAAACACATTACTAAGACACTGCCACAGCACAATCATACCAACACACCACCACAATACCACCACCTCCAACCCCTTCTTTACAATAGCCTGTGTGCATTTCATCAGTCTGAACTAATTATATAGCGCATACAATTAGGTCATCAGTTTGAACTAACTGTATGCCCTATATTCATTATATTCACAATAATAATTTATTTCCTACTGGCAAGGATAGAAAGCCTGTTGAGGTTATCAAGGACCCTTAGCTAATAGCTGACCTTCCTCTAAATGCAACATATAGTACAACAGCCAACTAACTCTCAGGTACCTCTTTACTGCTTGGTTAACAAAGGCATCAGATAAAGGGGAATATGCATCAACATCTTGGCCAAAAAGAGATAACTGAACCCAGAACTAACATGTTTTTGAGCAGACTGTGCTAACCACTGTGCTATGATTATATAATCCCTGCACACGTTAAGTTCATTGGACTCTGAACATCCATATACAGTATTGTATCTATTATATTCATACACACATTCCTTGCACATTGTAGCACTGTATCAGTGTACCCCCTTGAATTTATTACATCACTTCTTTGTATCCCAAGATATTATAGCCTAGGGATACCTCTTGATCAGCAACCATCAAAACACTTTAAACTCCAGAATAGTTATACTGTATCATTAATGCACTACCTAAAACTTGGATCATATTTGTACCATTAATGCCACTGATATTACTAACCTTACACTGTTCTGCCTGGAGAGAGACTGCATTTGGTTCGTTCTCACTTACAGTGCGGACATTCTCAAACCACCGAAGAAAGCCCTGATAATGCACTTCAAGATCACTCAACTCTGTGGTTATCTTCTTCTTCTGAGTCAAAAATGTGATGCGTGTCCTGAATGAAATAAAATACAGTACAGTATGATACTCCTCCTAAACTTGCAATGAACACCAAAGAAATATTTAATTGAGCATAATGATTAAATATCAAACAATTGTCTAAAACTGAAAATATTCAAGACATATATTCTATCTGAGATATTAAAATAACCAACATATATTCTCTCAAAATATTACCTGATTTCAATGAGCATCTCTGTTAAAGCTTCCCACCGGCTTGACACATTTGCCACTTGTTGCTCACTTTCTTTTGACGATTCTCCAATAGTAGATGTCTCAGAAATTGCAGACTCTCCAAGACTGACTACTTTATAATATTCCTCTTTTTGGCTATCCATCTGAAGATAATTGAAGGAATTTAAATATTTGAAAAATCAAAAGGTTAGAACAAAAATAATAACATACTCCACAATATTTAATTCAGTAATTCATCAGTGGCTCTTGCCAATAATACACTTGATTTCTAATTAAAAAACTTTTCTTCTCTGTAAACAATCTTGCTATTCCAGTGTTATATTAGACATTCACAATTTACCAATGCAACACTCATTACTAACCCTAGCCACAACACTACTATTGCTGTATTGTCATATTCCCGTCACTAAATCATGAATATGACTAATTTTCCACACGTTTATTTTCTAAAGGAACACTAAGATCCTGTTTCATGATGCTTAGATGCACAAAAGCACAGCTGTGTGCAGCAAATGTCTGCCTCCTCCTCTGAACATCATAACCAGCACTGTGTTCACCGAAATCTGAACCTTATAGTCTATCACAGTCAGGATCTTCTATGATACTGTCATTGCAAAATAATTGCATTCATTTATTTTGTCATTATTAAGTGATGGTGTGGGCACAAGCTGCATGAGAGTGCTGTAAGCTGTTGCAACATGCACTACCTGTGGTCAACTTCTCAATAACGAGGCCCCTCACACCCAGAAGGGGTGCCCACAACTTTTCCCCAAGATGGGATCCATTCACTGGAGGCCAGGGACAGCAAATGTAAGCACAGTGTACACACGGGACTTAAATCTTACACGATACTTTAAATCATCCCTCATTGACTCGTTCAGTAGCGGTTCAGATATGGCATGCTCATCCCTCTTTGACACGTGCATTTGATGGTTATTAGCTGAAATACCCCCAGTACTGTATATACATTTTTGTAGAGGTTATGGTTTTAACATGGCATACAATTTCCTTAGCAACCATGTTTAACATAATATACTGCATTTAGTTTTGCAGTATTGTACACAAATTAAAAATACAAATGAAATCGGTTGTATTTTTTATTTTATTTTGGCCAGTGATACTTTTTAATCTTTTTCTGTAAGTGTTTAAGAAATCTTTATTTTTTTAAAAGCTTAATATACCAGTTCTTCTTGAAATAATGAGGAATCACATACATTTACAATATTATTGAAAGTGTTAAAAGGAGATTCACTACTTACTTCACTTTCCACTTGTTGACAAATTTGACTAAGCTGCTCCAGTGTAAGTTCTTCCATTGCCCTAGGCTTGATCTGGGCTTCCATCGAGTCCATCCACCCACCTAACTGATGTAATGCCACAGAGAAATCCTCTTGACTGCTTCCCTCCAGCTTCTGGCGTTTAACTACACTGCCTTTCACCTATTCAGAATGTAATAAGTATAATATGTCATTTTATATGAAGTTTCTACTAGTGCCAAAGCAACTTAATTTTAAATTTGTACTTTTCATTATATTCAGAAGAACTACTATTCAATACATAAAATATAAAACAAATTTAGATCCTGAGTGCACTGTATGTGCATACCATTTATCTTAAGATATCTATGGTATACAAATGGAAATCAGTTATGACACCATTTTCAAAGGATGAAGATGACCAGTCACAGGCAGTTCCTGCTAGCAAAGTTAAGTACACAGAGCATGGGGAGCCCATGGGTGAGACAATACAGAATTACACGAATACCTTCACATATTAAGAAAAGTCTTTAAATGTAGATAAAAAGTTACTTTCTGAACAAGTTACTTGGTTGCTCTCTTATGTAATGTTCCACACCCAAATAGATATGCCAAAGTACCAAAGAGATCAGGTCAATCTTCATTTCCCAGACAAAATGCAGTGATGATCTTTTCAGTCCAAACCCATGCTTCATGAGGGTTTCAATTTTGAAAAAAAAACTTTGGAACATCTCTAGAGGCCTCAATGGAGAAAAAGCTGGTGGCTTGTCAAGGTCCCCCCCCCCCCCCTCCCTCATTACTTCCGAGAATTCTTTCCAGGAGAAATTTAAACTTTTGCACACATTAATCTTAAACTAATGCAAACAACTTTGACATTTATTTAAAACCCATGTCAATATGTAACGATCTCAAAAATACATCTATACAGTTTTACACTAGTAGGGACTAATGTGCAGCGACCAAGATTTTGATTATTACATATCTGACATACCGTACCTGCCTGTTGTGATTTCAAGAACAATAAACCTTCACATACCAAAGTAAATTTCATTTGGTGTGACCACATCCTCTAAATTCACTATAACACACACACTTAACCACTATTATGTATTTTGTCAATATAACAAAACCATATCAATCAATTTTCCTAAATATCATAATTTAATAACATCTGTATTCCACATTTTTTCCAAATACCTTTCCATACGTAAGTGTGAGTCCTACCACTCCTTTAGCAGCACTCCAGCCACCTCTCTCAACCTAACTCATAATTCTTTACCAAGGGTTGTAGTGCACCAACTACATTCCTTTCCCTGATTTAGTTTTTTTCAACCTTGCCTTCAAAATATCCTCGAATTACAGACCTTATTTCAACTTATCCCTCATTTCTAGGACTTCCAAATTTAGCCCTATTACACATGCCAATTTGCGCTCTTCCCCCCTCCCCCCCCCAAGCATTTTTGTACTTTTATACTTTTATCCACATTTACATTTGGGTATACAGTACTGTATTAACAGTTCAAACTTGACATCATTCAAAGCTAAAATCCAACTGACCGTTTCAGTAATTTTGGTTGTGATGATCTTGGTAACGACAGTGGCGCCCTCATGAGATATGGTGGTTGTACTAGAGCTTAAAACATTACTAGAATCATCAACGGGAGCCATCACTTTGCTAATATCAATACCACTTGCTGCCATCTGAAAGTAAAATAAAAGACAGTATATAGTACAACAATTTTACAGAAAGAAGAAATACTAGCCTGTAATTATGAAAATTAAGATTTGTGCAAATCAGAGAAGCAAAGTAACTTTGTGATATCCAAACCACTGTAAAGTACAGTGTTGTTCTTGACACAAGTGTTGTGTGTGTGGGTGTTATTGTGCTTGCTGTGTAAATGTTGAGGCACCAGTCTGGAGAAAAAACATGAATATACTGTTGTGAAACCAAGGCAAAACAAAACTTTTCTATTCAAAGAATCATTCACACAATACAGTACTGTATACCATAAAGGATATATAAGTACCACCACACAACAGCAATAATTCACAGCAAAAAGCACAAAGCATAAAATTCAACATAATATGTACCAATAAGAGAAATGATAAGTAACAAACATGAGAGGCTAACTGTTAAGAAGCAGTGTGCAGTTTGGGTGAAGTATTGGGAAAGAAAACCCTGAAATATAGATTACCCAATCCCACCAAAATGATACTTAAAACTTGAATTGTAAATATGGCTAACCATTATGCCTTGAACAATGATTGGTTCATTAACTAGGCAGTCTTGGGTGGCTCTTATCTCAAGATTCAAATGTACAGCACACATGTGAATGCCACAAGTACTTTATGTTAATGGCAGTGGATCAAGGTCTAATATTAATGCACATGGTAATTCCAATTATGCTATTAGCTTCAAGAGACTGATAAAAGTTTTAAATACACCATTTTAATCCAAGTACTGTATGTAAGAAGACAAAAATGATGTACATGCACACAAAATGAACATACTTACTCTCTGTGTCTGTGCCTCAATCATGCTCACAAGGCAGTCCATACGATCTTGTATACTTTCAATTTCTGCCGAGATATTTTCATGAGCAGGAGACTCTTCTGGAATGTAGGTGAAAATTTTGCTACTTTCTTCCTCGAGATGGCCAATACAACGATGCTGTACTTCCATCTCTGCCTGCAGTACCTGTAATAAACATTATTATGAGCATCTATGAAGGCCTTACACATACACCCACTTGAAAAACTACTCTAGTAGAAATACCCAGTATCATCAAAATGAAAATCTGTATCTTAAAAAAATATAGTGCACAACTTTACATTAGCTAGTTTACATGAATTCTTACCTGCAGCATACTAGCATGTCTGAGAATGTGCTCTTGTTCAGACGAAGGATTGCTCTCAACCTGGCGAAGGGTAGTTTCCTTTTCATGCAGCCACTGACGCAACTTATCTATTTCTTGTTCAAAATGTTCCCAGTGGATTGAAAGAGTCTGGAAAAACAGGAGCCTTGATATCATCTACTGGTATGCAGTACTACATTTTTCAATGGAAAGTACATACACTATCATAATTAAACAATACACATGTGCAATCTGTAAACCAAAATAAAAATAAAAACAGTTCCCCCAACCTCCAACACACAGTATTTTGAGAGGTTTATACCTAACTATTATTGTATTGCTCATTTGTGCTACTCTCATAAAATACTTTGTCTAACGTTCCCACAGCTCTCAAAGGAATTACAGTAAAGTATTACATTTAATCTAAAGATAGTTGTAATGTTCAAAATATCAATACATGTACCAAAAGTTTAACTTAAATACATAAATATACAACAATATAGCATGCCTACATTATAGTGCACTTGAAATTTTAGCCCAAGAATGTATTTAACTTTAAACTTTATCCATATTTTTTATCTTTTAAAACAATAGCCAGGAACTAAATCTCGTTTCAAGTAGGCACACACACGGGTAAAAAATTTACTGTATTGCTTGTATTGTATTGCTCTATTGTAATTCTGAGCTGGATTCTTCAGTAGCTCATCTGAACTTGAGCAATAGTACCATAAGGCATCCAGGCTTCCTCCAAGACTAACACTGGACTACAAGTCAAATCCAGAATCCGGCCGTCTTACGGGCAAGAGTAGTACAGTATAGGAAACATATATAACTGCAGTCACAAAACAAACTACTGCTCTTAAGAAAAAAAAAATTACCAAGCAAGGCTGCTTTATTTTCCAATTTTGAAATCAACACATTATGAACAGTCCTACTAATGTACTACAGTGGAACCTTAGGATACAAATGCCCCTTTTTACAAATTTTTCCATCAAAGTTTAGCAATTTTGTCGGAAAATTCGAATTGGGATACAACCTTTGCCTTGCCTTGCAACTTTTGTTGATACATAGTTTGTGCTTTTTTGTTTTTTGAGCATAAAAGTAATTATTATACATCACACCATGGGTGTGGGTCCCAAGAAAGTCAGTGGCAAGGTTCAACCTAAGAAAATAGTTGCGAGTAGAGGCATTAGTAGCATTCCCTTAATCATTAATGCAAGTAGAAAAATTTAATAATTGAGACATGATCAGTTTAACTTGCCTGCAATGTTGTCCAACGTGACTCGGCCCATCTGCATATGTGTGCCCATCGCTCACCAAGGGCATTTAATTCATCTTCTAGAGTTGAGTAGGCTGATGGGAATGATATAATTTAAATAGATAAAAAAAAAAATCTTAAAATACCTGTTAAATTACCCACTATACATTAGCTTATATTTTCTAGGAAGATTTTCCTAACAAGAATGTTTGTATGGACATGGCTTCAACATGACTGATTAGGTCTCCAAACATATAATAAAGTTCTAGCCATGATTATCAGCAGTGGTTTGGCTGCATTATCAACTACAACTAGAGTTAATCACCTTAAGATCAATATTTTGACACCAATTCTACAATAAAAGTTGCACACACACACTGCAAAAAGAAAAAACTGTCTAATCTTCAACCTTTCATACAAGACCTAGACCAGACCTTTAAGCTAATATATATTGAATAACATACTTCCATAGTTATGTACTTTATAATTTACAATAATAGAGGTATGCAAGTACAGTATAGGGCCTTGAAAAGTTTAAACCTTTTACCTTTCCTAACAATAAAATGCACTTAAATCTTTAAGCCAAAGTTAATGCATACTGTTGCTTAACCTCTGAATGCTTGAGTAAATTATTCGAGTTGTTACAGAATACTGTATATACAAAATGGCTATTAATTTGGCAGCTGCTGCACAAAACATTAGCCACTCTAAGTGGTTGCTCAGTTAATAAACAAATTATTTAAATATATTTAACAAGAGAAAGATACTATATGACTTTAGGAATTTAATTATCATTTAAGAACCATCATAATCAAAGATGCATTTTTACTTCTGTGATGTTTCATCAAAATGGTAATTTTTCCTAATTAATTATACAATTACTTACCACTATCTGAGCTGCTTTCATCTACAACTACTACCATATTGGAGAGAGAATTAATGTTTGATTGTTCATTTTCTAGATCTTGTTGAAGGCTTTGATGAGCTGATATTTGTTGTCTTAGAATTTCTGTTGTTGGTCCAACCTGAGGAATGATAATAGTGATATAGGGGGATTTTATATCACAGTCTTATCTATGTGCACCATAACAAAACATCTTACTACACACCACATTATATTTGTATTAACCTTCTTATAACCAGCAGTTTCCCATTAAATGAGCAAATGTTGTAATTATAAGCAGCATTACATCAGCTAGCCAGACTTGAGGAATTTCATATAGAGATTTAAATATGAAACAAGCAGTCAAAGCTCACTCCTTATATAGGAACAGTAGTAGGCTCTATACCTTTGTAGTTAGCTACCGAAAGTCCTGATGTCAGATTTTCTGAGCTTACTTGGTTAGTATTTAGTTTCATTAATATAGGCCAAGCAATACAACATTAGCACTAACATTATATTGCCAAAAAAAAAAAAAAAAAAAAAGGGAGCAGGTTGGGGTTGCCAGAAACCATGCCAATTTTCTCCTATAAGTTACTCTTAAAAATAATCTCATCTAGCAAATTATATGATTTCTATTGTATAATTTTACACTTAAAACATTAGAAATCCCATATTGAAACCAATTTATATGATCAAACTGTATTTACAAATTGTAAAATTTTATCTCCCCTAACATACTGTATTATAGTCACAGTAACAGAGACAATAAAAAATCTAATACAGTACTTTGCATACCTGACTCATATTCGCAATACGATCTTCGGTGTCAGTCAGCCATTTTTTTAAGCTTTCTAGCTGCTTTTGCTGAAGACTCATTAGCTTCTCATGTAGACTGTGGACAAAAAGTTAAAACAAAATTCATTGATTATCTTTACTCAAAATCCTCCTGCAGTATATTTATTACTTTTATCCATTAAAAATGGTGTTAAAAGTTTTCCAGTCTGCCTTATACTTTTAATAGATTCTTATTTTTCAGTTAGTTTATTTTTACAGAACAAGTATATAAACTTCTTGGAAAAATGTAACAAGTACTCAATAAAAAAAAAATAAAAAATAAAAAAGAAGTCACATCAAAGTGGCTGAAATATTTATGGCAAACTTATGCACATTAATTTCTGATAATGATTTAAACAAATGAAATTTTCTGTATATCTTTGCCTTAATAAATCCTTAAACATAATTTATCTTTACAATTAATATACACTACTGTACAAGAAATTACAAAATACATAGCATTTTTATACACCAAAGAAGTTTTAAAACTTTAAACTTTTACAGGCCAACTACAATTTCAATTTAAAAGTTCATCATAAATAAAAATAAAAAAAAATTTAAATAAAGTATACTTTTTTCCATTAAATGTAATACCTAGACTGACGGTCCATAGCCTTGACTCTGAGCTCCTCCCAACGGGTGTTAAGCAGTTTCATCTGCACTCGAACTTCCTCTTCCTCTTCTTCCTCCATCACTCCTTCTCTCATCAGCCGTGATCCCTCACCAAGCACATCGCCGATGCCACCCTGCTTTGATGTTAACTCCAACATTAACTCCTGAAATAACATTGTTTAATGTAATTAATAGATGTGCTAGTTTTACTTTTACTGTGCATAAAAGACAATAGGAAACCGGTAGACAAGGTTCTCTTCCTTTTCTGAAATAGGGTTCTTAATAGCTTCCCTAGTTTAAGACATTAAAACCTCCAGGACACTGAGTGATATATAGAGTGGGTATACACCCACTGTGGCTTCATCCACAGTCGGTGGATACCAAACAAAAAAAGTGGTGGTTGCTGTGCCTCTGACTTTTGTTACTGTGCTGCCATCTGAAGGTGGTAGTTGTACTGTAAAAGTCATTGGTCTATAGTCAGCAGATGAATAAGTGGCTGTCCTAGTGATTCCATATTACTTTTGAAGGAGTGCTTAATGATATAAATCTACTCTGTTGTCTTATAGCAAGTGGAATCATTGGTGGTGGATTAATAAATATCTCTAGCTTGCCCAACCAACTACTGTATGTGGCAAGACTAGTTACGCAGAGCCTTTTGGATTGGAGCCAGTTAAGGGTTAAATGCAAACAAAATGCTTGCTCCCTCTTCACAAACTGTTGCCACCAAGCCTTGTTACCCAGCACTTTCTATGGGCTGTTCAGACAATCCCACTTCCTCCCTCACTCACCAAGAGTGCCAACTTTTTATCAACCTTTATCCCTGTTCTTATAACTTGAAGTTTGATTTGCATGAGGTTTTTGAATCAAGAGGATACTGTGCTGTTTATGTGGTTCTTTGCATGATAATATTTTTCACACAAGATTTGCTTTAAGACATTTGATACATTATTAGATGCATTACAAAATGTATAAAATACACAATATACTTTACTGCTATTATACACTAGCTACAATTGAACTAGAATTTAAACATCATATAAAACAATTATTCCTCACAATTTTTAATACATATTGCAAAATACTTCATATTTAATTCCCTTAATAATCTACAAATAAATTACAGCAATATTACATAGGCACTCTGGTATTAACTACTTGCCTCTAAATCATGGAACTGATCTTTCACTGCCTCTGTTGTGTCAGCAATAGGAGGCATAGCAGCCAATCTGTCCTCTGCTCCTAGAAGCCAGGTCAAAACTTCTTCTAATGTTCGTTGATATTCACTCAAACCAATACTGGCAGTCGAAAGTGGTCGAGCCTTAGCGGCAATGTGAGAGGCATCATCACCACTGCCCTGCAAATAATAAAGTAAAAACTTTTCATGAAGGCAATGAACAGAATATTGGAGGTATGTACGCCAAAGGTTTGAGAAGGTTACAAATAAGCCCATATTGTACAAGAAGGAAGTGCATGAAAAGAGCAGAACTACTTATGGTTCAACAAGCAGTGGCAGGAGGCCAAGACCAGAAACAAAATGGCATGGAAAAAGAACAGAACAAAATGCTAATACTGTATGAACAAAGATGCTAAGAAGAGCTAGGAAAGTGAACAATAGAAACAGGATAGAAGTAGAGAAGCAGTTTGAAAATGACATGCCAGTAAAGGATAATGCCTTGCTCTAGCATTGCAATATTACATTATTAAGAAAGCAACAGTAAAAACAGTTATCAGGCTTAAAGAAAAGAATAGTTTCACAAAAAGCAGCATGTTGATCTATGAAGAACTCAAGGAGGTTCCCAGAGGTTTCCAAGATAAAAATATAGTGGAGACCAAGTATGGGGGACAGTTGAATAAACAACAAATAACAATGGTTAATGAAAAGGAAGTAGGGGTACTTGGCAGAAGAAGACATAAAAGGTAATAAGGTCTGATCATATGTCACCACGACTAATACAAGAGGCTGTGGGAATACTTTTAAAATCACTAAGAATAGTATACAATATGACACCGAAGACAGGAATTTACAGATGTAATGAAAATGTCAAATCTGGTAATAAGCCAAATTGGAAAAATGACAAAAACCTCAATGGAATCGAATGCTAGATGGTCTAGAACAAGTTTAGTTTTTTAAAGTTCTGTTCTATCAAGGTTGCAATGCAATATACAATATAATAATGAAAACTTACTTCAACAGATAAGGAAGAATCTGATTGTAGAGCAACATCCAAACTCTCCATGGTAAAAGATCCGTGAGGAAGAGCTTGGAACAAGCACATTACATACATCATAATTGACTTTTTGTCAGGCACTTGGGAATTCACATCTGCAAAAAGAGACACGGTAAATTAACACTTAGTGCTTTTTTAGTTTAAAATCTTATAAACAAGGAACTTATGATATGTATTGTAATTCCCCAAGTCTGATCTTGGAAATTTTAGTGAATTCCTCATTTATCAAATTTAAAATAAATAGGTCTGAGTCAAGACAAAAAGCTGCCCCAGAGCAGAGCAGGTTTCTTAAGTGCAGTAGTCACACTGGTTGAGACTCAGGCACTGAATTCACAAGAAATCTTTTCATAAGAACCTGAAGGGTTATGTGTAAGGCACTGGGAAGTCACTAAAATGAAGTTCAGCACAGACTAGCCATCAAGAGCCACATCAATAAAGATAAAAAGACTAAAAAACACTACAGAGTCATCATTTGGTCTCGCAATTGACCACCAAATGAGGCTTCATAACTGTATTTACCACTTTCACACACCTACCACCTGGAAAAACTAGTCACCTAATAAGTGTTCCCAAGCCCAGATTTCGACTAATTCCTCTTAACAGAACTAGAAAAGCTGCACACAGAAGAGTGTGGAAACTAAAGGGTGGGACCAGGAGTAACAAAATGGGAGCAGAGTGAAGAACATTCATGGTCATAGGACAAAGTGTATGATACACCCCAGGTAAGATGGCATCAATAACCAAAGAACCCCACTTGAAGGTATAAATCTCATATTTGTCTAAAAATGAAGGAGCAGGCTAATAATGAAAAGAAGCTAACCAGTTAAAGGAACAATAGTCCTGCCTCTAACAGTTTTGCACGTAACTCGGCTACACAACATCTGCAAACCAAAACCAATGATAACACCTCATTAAAAGACAAGTCCTTCAAAACACAATAATCCAAGGTAAGCTTGAAAAGAAAAAACATAAGGACCAAAACTGACACTGAGGAATCTCAACATGTAAGAAATGGGAGGAAGGAATGCTTTGCCACCCCAAACAGCCACCTGAAAGAAGACTGCAAATGTGACACCAACAAATTAGGGACTTATGCTCCATACATATAATGTTACACAATATTTAAGCACTTCAAATGTGAAGATCAGTGGAGAGCCTGAAACCATGAATCAAAGGTCAACTGGCGATCCTCTGGAAGAGGCAAAGCCTCCGTAAAGTAATACTGTACGACACAAACAACCATATTTAATTTAAAACAAATTACAGCACTGTTCGACAACTTGGAATAAAAAATAAAAAAACTGCTAAATGTCATATCTTATCCCTTTTTGTAAGAGGATAAATTTTCTAGAAACCCTTTGCAAATGAAAGCATTTATAGTAACTATTTGGTTGAAAGTACTGTACCAATATGTAGTGATGGACCATCAGAAAGGTGACTTTTGTATTATTGAATTTGGACAAACTGGAAGCATTTTTAACCACAACATAATTACAAGACCTAACTTAACCTTTCTAGCAATCCTAGGTATAATACATGATATCGTAGGCCTTATATAGAACATATAGGTCCCAGGAATATTTAATTTTTAGTTTTTCCCAGATTGTATGAAATTAAAAGTACATAAAGTGCTTTACTGGTGGTCCATCACTAAATATTGCTCCTTTCCACTAGTTACTACAAGTACTATCATTTCAAGAGGATGGGTTAATTTAAATAAAGGATTAAAAATGTCTTAGTTCAGTAATTATCAAGTTGCAGTATTGTTATAACCATTTGTCTACTATTTTCTTGATTTTTCTACTAAAATTTGATATTAGGATAAGTATTATTATACCTCAAACTTTCACCCCACATAAATGCAAACAACTTAAAAGATAGCAGATAAATTATATAATAAATATTAAGGAAAAGAAAATTATAATTATTATGGTACTACCTTCTGGGTCTAGAAGTCTCTCAATGTTCAAATTCTCATGAGCAAGTCTGAAAGCATTCTCCAAGCGAGCATATGGGTGCTTTCTTGCCATCACAGTCCAGTCAAATAGTTGGGGACGATGACTATGAATGAGAGCATTGAAAGCAAGCCCATCTGTCCATGAAGTGGTGAAGTTTCGAACATCAACTCCATGGTATCCCTGTTAAAAAAAATTAAAATCATTGCTTTCATTTTATATACAGTACTGTATACTTCTTAAATTTTTTATTTACAATACTCTGCAGTGCACTGAATTAAAAAAAATCTAATGAACAGACCATGTCCCTATGCCAGTCATACTTCACAATACCAACAATATTATGAATAATCACAATACATAGCACATCACAATACATTAACCAGTAGCAACCATCTGGACACTGATTGCTCCAGTGTCTCACCACTTTCCAACACCTACAATGAGGCATATAAACACACACACACACACACGGGTTAAACTGTAATTCAACTTTACCCCAAACCACAAGCAGTACCCATCAACTCCTCTCCTTCAGCTTCCACTTCAATTCTCAGGAGGCATGCTTCCCAAACAGACTCTCCTACAGACTCCCCAACTAAGCCTGTGTCTACCAACACAGGCTTTCTTTGCTGCTACAACAACTGACCTTTCGGTTCACAGTGTCCTATGTTTGTCTACACACACACACACACTGCCTTGACATATTTTTAGATGACAATTCACAAAAAGCCATTTACACCTTGTCTTTTCAACAAATCAAGTAAGTGATTTGCTCATGTGCAAAATGATACCGATTCTCCACGATACTGCCTAGTCTGGGAGATAAAGTTAATGGATGGGGAAATTAATATATACATACAGTAAATTATCTTATCCTACGCTACTCTTATCACCTCCATGCTGATACCTGGTCATCTCATGAAAGAGGGAAATGAGGTAATGATTATGACAAATAATGTAAAACATTTATATACAGTACAGCATATATACAAACCTTGGTAGTTTGCCTGCACCATGCTAGAAGAGTCTTCTCTAAATTGGTTTGTTGCAAGTCAGACATCACATCTTTAAGAACACCTTGAACCTGTTTGAAAGGTAAAGATTAAATAATTAAATGGTAAAAGCTAGATATTAACCGTTTTTCCTCATGTACAAAATTTACTTTGTGACGGACGAAGATTATTTAGTTTTTGTCATTTAATTATTAGCATAATAATTATTTCTATAACACCATAATACTAAATACCTTCAGACTACAACGAAGATTAAGAAGTCTAAAAACTATTTAAAACTTTTGAACCAGTATGAAAACATTCAGTACTTAAATCATTTTGCCATTACTTGCTGAAAACACACCAATAGTAAGCGCTACATACCTGCCAATGTAAAATAATGGCCCACACTAGTCCCAGTGTTAACTTCGCTGAACCATCCACAATGTGTTCATTAGATATGTTGACCAGTTTCACACTGTGCTCCTCTAGGATGTTCAATGCTCTACTCACATTGTTCAAGTGATGTACACGCATTCGACCCTTCTCTCGTTTCTGTTAACGTAAATACATATAAACATAATATAAATTAAATACTTACATAATTACATAAATAAATTAAGCACAAAACAAATTAAGTACAGGCTTCCTATTCTTGACAATGGGAATTAGTACATGAACCCCTTTCCCTTTAATCTCCTTCCACTTTTATTTTTCTACAAAATTTGCATTCTTTTCTATCACAATTTTAAGGAAAACTACAAATTAACCAAAATTATAAACAGAGAAACCTCGGGACTTGAACTGCTTCCAACTCGAAGAATTCGGCACTCGAATGCTGTGTTCGTAATGGTAGCTGACTGCTTGCTCAGCACTCAAAACACAAACATGCATAACGGATGAATCAGTTTCAGTTTCTCAGTTTACACAGAAATCACAATAGCGTGATGCATCAAATGAACAAATCCACAAGAGCTGTGACGAGGATTTGAACCTACATCAGAGAGCATCCCAGACTCTGCCTTAATCGACTGAGCTACTACATGGTCAAAAGATTTATGGCCCTTGTAGATTTTTTAATTTGATGCATCACACTACTGTGATTTCTGTGTGTAATGAAGTAAGGGCGAAGAGGTAGAACGGCCTATTGACATAACTTGAGTGCATGGGGGAATTGTGTAAAACCCTGGTTTGTGTCCAAGAGGCTGCAGGATCCAAATAAGTTCAGTAGAACTTTTGGTTGTAATTCTTTTGACCATGTCGTAGCTCGGACGATTAAGGCAGAGTCTGGGATGCTCTCCGATGTAGGTTTGAATCCTCGTCACGGCCCTTATGGATTTGTTCAGTTTCTCAGTGGCTGTCGTTCAATACATACCCCACTAAACTTTTGTAAATTTTCTCATGTTTTCTTGGATATTTTGTTTATATTCTTAGCATAAATAGTCACCACGGCACCTAAGGTGGTTTGTGATAAGAGCCAAATAAAAAGAAAATTAGTTAGAACCAACACAAGAGATGAAAAAGAACTCTTTGCAAAATATGAAAGTGGTGCCTGTATGTCTGCTCTTGTTACCTTTTTTATCATGCCTAAATTGGACAAGTTCCTTTTAAGAAAAGCATCCAGCGAGGCTCAAGAGGGAAACAGAAAGAGAAAGAACCTCGTAAGAACAATTACTTGAAATTTTTATGGTAGGGGACTCCCCTGCCAAACAATATCATCTCTCCTCCTCCTCACCAACTTTCACATACACAGATACCATCAACTCTAGGTGCAGGTAAAGTGAAAATATATTTGAATTTAATTTATTGTATTCATATATGTATGGTTTGTGGTCTTTAACAGATTAATCCAATTTACATTATTCCTTATGAGAACAAATTATTCAATACTTTAACAGATCAGCACTCAAGCAGCCTTCTGGAACCAATCAAGAAGTTTGAGTACCGAGGTCCCACTGTAGTTACTAGTAGACTGCATGTGTTACATAATGTAAAATTTGAATAACTTACTTATGAATAAAGATTCTTAATCTAAATGTCAATCTTAGATAATAAATTTTGTACACAGTACTAACCGTTGAACAGAAAAATGACTCATAATTAAATTCATTTGGCTGTAAGCATCTTTGAACACAGTAACCCAAAGGTGTACAGAACTGTGCAATTTACCAATAAAAATTATTACTTCACAAAACTATATTATTAGTATTTTTTTTATTTTACTGATGGCAGATATTTTATATAAATGAAACCTGCACTCACATGGTACAGTACATGTGAATACATACATGCTTCCAAAACCTTAACGAGAAAGAACTAATATCAAAATATACTTACATATGTTTTATTAGTAAGTACTTCCAGTAAAGCCAGGAGTCGAGTGCCATCTCGTAAGTCATAAAAAAGATCTGTGACTGGTGGATGCTGACCCTTAACTAATTGACTGTTAATCCACTTCGCAAAGGTTTTCTTTTGAACATCCTCCCGCTCATCTGTAAAGAAACAAAATTATTATTTTTTAGAATGCAATAAAATATGATTTCAAAAGTTAATACAGTACTGTTACAAGAAAGGGGATGATAGAAGAGATATTGAAATTATTCACAAATAATGTACTGGATAAATGTAGGTGGCTTAGTAATGTTTCTGAAGGCCTGGGGCGCCTGAAGAAACATTATAATTAAAACTTCAGTATTAAAACTTCAGCATCATTTCCCATTGTAAAATATTCACATTCCTACTGAACAGTACAAAGAATGTTAAATAGATAACCTACACAAATTAAAATATTGATTTTGACTATGGTAAATGCAGTTCATTTAATACATAAAAGTAGTCTAAAGGCAGTTTGTACTTACACATTTTCTGAAACAATACATAGATCCAATACAAGAAAAAATGATCATGCCATTACGTTTCAACCCACTGAGTTCCCTAAACCCCACTCAAGTTAAAATTGAACATAATTTGCCTTTTTACATAATGTTTTTACTATTTCTAACTAATAAATAACTTATTTCCTCACGTTTACATTTGAGCCCCAAGGTAGTTACACACCTTTTTGATTCATGCAAAAAAATATATTACAGTTTTGAGCTCAGAAACTTTAACATTATATACATTATATTATTTGAACTATATATTTTTTAAGTAAATGAAACAAAAAGTGTGTTTATGTCTAAGAGTTAAGAGGCATTGTAGTATTTCAAGGTGAGTTCAACAGGTAGCAGCTCAGCTGACCAGACACCTGGCTACGCTGCCAAGTCCATCCCAAGTTTTAAAACTTTTCCCAGTGCTATTCGTCGAGTAATGCAACCATAAAAGCATTGTGAAAACACGTGTTTATAGAATAATAGTCGATATTAGTCATTACAAATGTATCTAAATTCTCCGGAGATGAGTGCAAGGATTTGTGTTGGGCAGTTGTTGTGGTGGTTGTTGTGACAACCTGGCACCGCCGCACGCGTCTTAACCCACCGCCCGGGAAGACACGCCTCTCACACTCACTCACACACACACTCACACGCAAGCATCAGCCCATTGCACGCAACACACACAACTGCGGGGAAGTCTTCTGGCACCGACCTTTCAGCAGCACCTCCATGATTACTGTAAGGTCCAATGTCAAGGTCTCGGGATTGTACTTTCTCTATAATACGCGCTCGGAAAGGCGAACACAGATCCACATGGTGTGCGGCACACGAATCAGTTTCGTACTGAGTGCTCTTCAAGATGAACCCGAGGTGCTCGAGGGAGGGGAAATGCTGAACAATCCACTACTACCTATCGCACGCCCTGACTCCTCCTGTGTTATGTACCATAATGCACTACAAAGCTCATGCATAGCTTCACCATGATATTAAAGTCTTAAACGCAGAATCTTCATTAAGACCAATATATGGTTAAGTTTATGCCCAACCCTGTACGCCAAGAGGTTGCTGGGAGCGCCTTAAGTGGGAGGGTAACTGGGCACCGTTCATATATTTTCGCTCTAGCAGCTATAGTTTTGCTATAATATATCTTATACTTTATACAGTACTGAAGGCGTTGGACAATTTTTAAACAGCTTACTACTTACAGACCTGAAAGGTAAAGATTAATATGGCCTTGAACGCTTCCATTCCCTGGACAACGAACATTAAAAAAATGTACCAATTTGTTTATAAATTCGGTCAGGTGATAAGGAGAGGTTTGGCGAGGGTATTCCTAAGTGTCTTCTCTTATTGTTTCGACCCAACATGAAACATGTTTTCATTAGCATTATAAAGTATTCGAAGAAAGCCACAATGATGTAAATGATTATCTCTAAAGACTTCAACTGGTGGATAAGCCGCTGAAAGTTATGTATTGCTTGCATTTTCCACCAATGATATGTGGGTGTATGCGTGCATGTGTGGTTATTTTTGCTAATATAAACTAGCTTTCAATATTTACTTTACTCTTGACTATTGGTACCGAAGTCAAGTTTCCAGACGCGGCCAGCACATGAAAGTAAGCCTACATGTGACTAGAAACAAGTTCGTGCAGAGGGGGGATATAGATAGATAGAGATATATTATATATATTATTGATAATATATATTATATATAGATATAATATAAATATATATATACATATATATATTATATACATATATAAAATAGTAATATGGGTAGGCCTACTATGAATAGATGAAGAGTTAAGCAATAAGGAGATAAATTTGATAAAGATAAATTTTATTAAAGTTCCTTGAGGTGTGCGGGAAACAGAGGTTGCAAATGCATTTTTTCATCTGGACTAATAATGACTAAGTGTAAAAATTAAGCCGAAACTCTTTTTGGATCTAAAATGGTTTCATTGTGCCAGGATTCCAGGAACATAAATAACCGATATAATTAATGTGATAAGATCATTAGTGGTGTCCGTGGCAATAATTATAAACTGATATGCTTTTGTTGTCACCGAGACAAAATGTCTTCTACATGATGTTGACTTTAAATTCTCCTGCAAACCATCCCTTTGATCTTGCTTTGGTCGGCGAGACCAATTGTCATCTTGTAGTAGCAGCCAAGAAAAATGACGGGACACCACGAGCGTAGCTCTTATCCTGTAACTCCACCTAGGTTAACTCCTGATGATTGATGAAGATTAAGCCACCCAAAAGGTGGCACGGGCATGAATAGCCCGTAAGTGGTGGCCCTTTTGAGCCATTACCAGCATCAAGAGCTGATACAGGAGATTTGTGGAGGTGCAGTTGCACCCTGCGTGACGGGAGATGTCTCCCGTGAGGTAACTCCTTGTTTGCGAGTTCTTATAAGAAACTATAAACTTTATATGCAACTTAAATTATCAGACATATTCCAGCATTTTGAAAATGTTGACGTAACTTGTAACAATTTTATATATCTTTGGAGTAACTAAATTATTTTTAAAACAATAGGAAAATGTGTTCTAATCTGACGATAAATACAACATTTAAATTTGCCTACCATGTTGCCTACAAACTAACCACCACGGTGATTTGACATCAATGTTGCAACAGCGCGTCAACAGCCATTGTAATGCCTTGGTAAAAATATATGACTATGAAGTACCGGGTATTACAAATTTGTAGGCTGAAAAGTCAAATTCCAGCAAAACAATGTTGTTGGTTTGTGTGTATTGAGGAATGGGAAAGTTGTATCTGTGTCCTATGAAGCTAAATGTATAGCATGTTTGGTTGCGAGTTGTGGGGTTTTGTAATGTACTTATGTGTAGGATGACTTAAGCTGGCGCCCTTAAGATGTACGTAATAGGGGTATAATCAATCATTTGATTTATAACCAAATACTGCAATACCTTTAAACAAATGGCAGATATCCTTGACCTAATTGAAATGCTTGAAGATTTTCTTTCAAAAATTGCCGTATAGAGTTTAAACGTTGTTATTGTTTTAGATTAAGCTACTCGGAACAAAAGTTCCAAGTAGCACAGGCTATGGTGAACCCGTAGTGGACGAGTTTAAACATAATTAGCAGCCTTTTAAAAAATGTGTTTTGTAGAGCCCCATGGGAAAGGTCTCTAGGGATACGCCATCAGACATGCAACTTGAATTGTTATGATTATGAATGTATAAACCCTTGTCATGCCCATGACATTATCCTTAATACATTTATACCAATTCCTGGCCACAATAGTTAATAGTTCGGTTTGATTAAATTAATCGCACAATACAAGAGACCTGTGAAAGCGTCTCTTGTGGCCTTGGCTCTGGGACTGCAATGATGGTTTTTTACATCACAAGTCTAAAGAGAATTATTAATACGCTTAATGATACCATAACTATTATTTTTCGTATTACTGGCCTGAACTTTATAGATTTTATTAAATACAAACTTAATATGTCTTATTTTTATAATCACACACAATTAACATTATTTGCACGAACAAACTCTTATCTTTTAATGTAAGACATACAAGACTCTTGGTAAATTAGACTTGGCTAGATGTTAAGTTAAACTGGTCACCCGCTTAATATACATAAAACTTAGTAACAATGTATAGCCATTGTAACAATGTATAGCCAATCTTAACTGCAGTTAAGATTCGACTAAGTGAAGTGATAAGCTGGGGACGTGGACGTCAAACATGTAAGTTCCCACCTAGACTAGCAAATATAAAGTCACTTAAGCCCACGGAATGTACAAGTAAAAATAAATGTGATACACTGATGATAATAATCATAATCTACAATAACTATAGTCTTACCTTACCCGATTGATAAAGATTAAGCCACCCAAGAGGTGGCACGGGCATGAATAGCCCGTAAGCTTACCTTACCCACAAACTATAAAAATATATAGCCTCGGAGTTCAAGCCAAAAGCGCCCAGCCTCTGTATGCTCCCCCAGCCCAGTGAGGCGGGACACCAGGACAGCCCCAGAGGTAACATCGGTCATTCTCAAGTGTGCAAAACAATGACATTTGCTACCCTCTCGAGGTATACTAAATAATAAACTAATTTTACTCTTTATTAATACTAAGTATACTTGAACATTCGGATGCTCAGTTTCATAATAATAAATTATAACTGTTAAATCATTATAAACACAATACAAAGTTAAGTGAGAAAGTGTGGATGTCAAAACCGTCAGTAGTTTCTAAGCATTATATGACAAAGAGTACTTGGAAGACGGGACACCACGAGCGTATCTCTCATCCTGTAACTACACTTAAGTAATTGCCCAAACGCACACACAGGAATCTACTGGGCTGGACTAGTCCAAGAATAGCATAATCTCCCTTAAGGGTAAATTAGAGCTTGCAGTATGCAAATGTTAAACAAACAAGAGAGTGCAAGAGGGATCAGAGTTTGATAACCGGTGCTTGTCGTCGAGTGTGAAGGTTGGTGGCCAGAGGTACTTGCCTCGTGTGTGTGTCGTCTGTCTGCAGGTCCCTCTGATTGCCTAGCAGCATAACAACCCAACAACAAGTGATGTCAGTCATGTGAAATTACATACAGGGACTGACCTTTC